TGTCAGGTTCCATTTTTGAATTTAGGGTGTGTGTTAGTCACAAGTCACATGTCGCACATGTTTGAAATGGGGATTTAATCGCGAAACAGTCGAGATGAAAGCAAGCAACATCGGGATAATTACTAACATGTGTTGAGAAGCAAGCTTCTTGTTCAACCGGAAGCATATGAATTTTTGACCAGCTGTAATTAGCATTAAGGTAAGAAAACATATTAGCATCCTTAGCATGGGAGTATCAACCAGCACAACAACATGCTTATTTCACCAAGTTAAATTGGGATGGTTTATGATCTTCAACTGTATTTAGCCAACAAAAAAACCAGGGATTTTACAGGATTTCACGGATTTTTTGGAACCTTGGGGATGGGTAGGATGGCTCACCGTGCTCAAAGACCATGTGGGTCGGTCTTTAAACATTTTAAACAACCAAAAACATTTTTTTGATGAATTTGATCTTCCCAGGCTCAAAAGTTTGGCTCCCAATTCATCCCAGTTCTATGGCATGATATGGCCATGGCAGCCATTTTCGAAACAAAAACTGATCTTCGCTTAGGCTCCCTTCGAGGCGGCGACATCGCAGGAGGCTTGTCTCCAAGGGGCCGAAGCCTTGAGGCCGCTTGGAGTGGCCGAACATCCGCCTGGTTGAATGGGTTCTCAAAACAACCCAATATTAATTGTAGAGGTTTAAATAGAGGTTTTAGTGGGAAAATCCACCTAGAAATTGGAGTTTGAATGGGAACAGCTTCTACTTTCCAGCACCCCATGTTTGATTACTGGATGGTAGACCCAGCTTTTCAAGTATGGAAACCCAGCGGTAATCGAAACCCAAGAAACCCAACTATCCTTTTGGTGGTCAGATTGGGGATCCACCTTGGGACACCCAGAGCCCTGTGTAATCATTGGGCCTGGGTCAACTTATTGCTCCAACATGGGAATGGCTGGGCACCAAGAATGACCCGGCTGCAAGAATGGGATTTCACCTGCTTTGCAATTTGGGTCCCATCTTCGTCTCTTCAGACCAAAACCAAGAAGATTTCTGCATCCCCTAAAAACCCGAAGAAAAAGCTTGGAAGATGTGAATTAAACCATTTTCAATAGGTAAATCCACTATAAATGGTCATTTTCAATAGCTATGTTAAATTACCAACTTTCCAATTTTCCAAGTGCCATTTTGGGATTCAACGGGATTTCCCAGAAATGCTGGCCAGGCCCGAACAAAGCTGCATGTGGGGCATCTTGGCGACCTTCCCGGCCCCTTGAATTTTGGGGAATTGATGTAGAATGTAATCTCCAAAAAAAGATAGACATTGTCAAATCCGTTCCTGAAACAGTAATGCATCACTTTGGTTTTTTTTTGGATATTTTTTGGGGTTACTATATATAGTACCAGAGTCTTGCTATCTGACAATTGGAGGGATTGGGGGCGCATTCTGAAGGTCAGTGATTTACCGCGCATTTTGGGAGAAACTCATTTGTGTGCAAGAAACTGGTACCCGGCCAACGCGCACAGATTCCATGATTCCAGGTAAATGGAAAGACGTGATTGCGGAAGACAACAAGCCAAGCTGGCCAAAAGGCCATGATGTCGCTACCGTGCTGGCACTTGGGTGATGGCACTGTGTTTGCCATGGAATCTTCCGGGATCCTGAACAATTTGGCCTCCACGAGCCTTATCCGCTATCTATTCGGCAACGCATTGCGAACATGTTCTGACAACTGACAACATTCTTTCTCTTATCGTTTCTTCTGTTGGTCTGGGTCTTCCCATTGTCTCTCTCTCTCTCTATATCTAAAGAATATAGAGATTTAAATATGCAATATGCTAGTAATATCATATATAATATAATTTACTGTACTGTAATGTAAATATAATGTAATATATACAATGTAATAGAATATGATATATATATAATATAAGATAGTATGTTATACTATAGTATAGTATATATTATCGTATAGTATAGTATGGTAAAATACAATATAATACACTATAATACATATCATAATACAATACAATACAATATATTATATAATACAATATAATATACCATACTATAATTTAATATAATATGATATAATTTACTACTACGTAATATAATAACATATAATATAGTATAATGTAATATAGTATAGTCTAATAAAATAAAATATAATATAATGTAATATAACATAATGATATAAACCTATATATGATATAGTATAATATAATATACCATACTATATGATGCTATCCTATTCTGTCCTATCCTATACTACACCACTACAATATACTATACTACAATATGATATAATATAAAAAGGATATGATATAACATAATATAATACAATAAATATAATAATATAAATGCATATATAATATAGTATAAGATAATACACTATACTATATGATACTATACTATACTATCCCATTCTATCCTATCCTGTCCTATACTACACTATACTGTACTATACTACTACATTACTATGCACTATACACTATGCACCATACACTATACACTATACACCTATACTGTACTCTACTCTAGTCTACTCTACTCTACTATACTAATACTGTACTATACTATGCTATGCTATGCTATGCTGTACTACACTATACTATACCACACTACAATATAATTTAATATAGCAGAATATACGATATTGTTTCATTTGCCCAGTTTATCCCAGTAGAAAAACACGCGCCGGCGATGTTCCGCCAGGCTGCTACTTCTACGGCGCGTGCCAAGGTGGCTGCGGACTGTACTTCAACCCCACAGGAGAGGGCAAGAGCTGCCCGAGCCAAGGCGATTGCATGAGCATCTCAATGATTTGTCAGCTGAAAACAGCCTGAGCACGATGGATTTTTCAGGCGAAAAAACGATGGATTCATGGGAAAACATGATGACTCTGATGAATCGGGAAGTTTCGAGTTTATTTGAGTGAATCATAATCATAATAGTTAGAAAACACCATGATTATCCCAGCTATCAATGTTGCAAATTGAAACCGCAAAAAGGTTCACTGTTTTCTTTTAAACTTTTGAACAGTCAATCCGCTGACAGCTGCGGACACTTTTGGATTCTTGGGCTGCGCGGTCGCCCCTGGCGGCTTAGATTTAACAGTTTAACAGCTCGTGTAGCTGCCAAACGCCAGGGTCTCAAACGCCCAAGCTGGGGCAAGTTGAGCCAAGCTAAAGTTAAGTCTGACGATTGTGGGAACTGTTTACCCTCTGGTAAACAAACATAGCTATTGAACATGGCCATTTATAGTGAGTTTTCCTATTAAAAATGGTGATTTTCCATAGTTATGTTAGTTTACCAGAGGGTCATAGATTCTTGCCCAAAATTGATCCATCAAAAGGTTGATTCAGCTTTTGAACCCCACAATTTGGTCTGAGTTTGACACTACAGTGACCATGTTGTGGATCAGATTTTGTGTCTTCGTGGGTCGCAGCGAAGATTTGGAGATCCCAAGATGTACAGCCTGAAATTTTGGTAAAGTAGCGACCAGCCGACCAAACCTATACGTACTACGGAATCAACCTGCTGGTGACAAACTTCAGGAATGATTGATCAGTGTGGTTCCAAACGTTTCATATAGGTTTCTGGAAGGCGCATGAAGATTTAAACTGCCCAAAAGAGGCAGCGTTTGCAAATTCGAGACGTTTGATCTCCCGCATGCATTGGCGTAAAGGGATAGGCGGCAAACCCATCACCGAGGGAGGGTAACGTTTGCGGGACACAAGTTTGACTCACAGCCTAATGACATCAACGCCAACACCAAGAAGTCCGGAGAGGATTCTTGTGAGTCCTTTATCATGCTTGTTCACATTGACATGTTGCGGTTTGGCGTGAGAAGATGTTGCAAAAAACATGGGAAGACCATGAGCTGAAGTATCATGGACGGAGCTGCATGTATTTCAAAGTTTACCAAGTTGTCTCTTGCAGTCGCAACGCGATGGTTCAAGCAAGTCAACTGCTGAACACGATCAACATCATCGCAGCACAAGAGCCCATGGCAAGCGCGTCTTTCTCGGAATTTTTGGATCATGTTATATACCCTCTGGTTATGACTAACATAGCCATGGTATAGATGACCCATAGAAATAGATGTCTTACCTAGCTATAAAATGGGTGGATCTTTCCATGGCAATGTTAGTCATAACCAGAGGGTAATCATGTTGAAAATGAACGAACATGATGCAGGAATCCAGATGAATCCAGTAGCAATTGACCTGGAGATGGAGCATTGGTCCCACCTTCAGGATGTTAAGCAGCGAGCTGCAAACATGGCCCTTCCGTTCCAGGGCGATTCTTGGTACCCAACTTTCACAAACCACACCACTTTGGCTCATCAGGTAGTCACTATTTGATTCTATTTCCCACAAAAAAAGGGCTGTTCCAAAGGGGAGTGCCAACCTCACAGACTGTGGCCATGGCACTTAGTGAAACGCTGCAGTTTCGGCGATGATCCTCCACTCGGCGCCTCAGTAGCTGCTTCCCGTAAACCTGTTGTGCTGAAGAGAACCCAAAAAACTCGGTATATGGTCTATGGATGTTTATGGTTTATCTTACTGGTGCTTAGCAGGATGAGGGAATGATCCATAATCACTAGTAATAATCATCCCATTCCCTCAGCAACCCATCCATTCCCTACTAAGCACCAGTAAGTTATGTTGTATATCATGTATCAAGATTTCCAAAATATGGACCACTACTAAGAGATCAGCCATGTAGCAGATGGAGATCGTTGATTTAGCTCCAACGAAACTGCAAGGTGAGCGGGGCTTCCAAACTTGGGGCTCCCAGGTAGTGTTTTTTTTGGCTAGATAATTAGCACGATTCATGGGTCCGATTTAGTGTGTAAAAACAACATAAAAACGAGACGCGGGGCATAGCACAACTGCTGGCCATGTTTTGCTAATAGCCATATTTAGTCTTTTATATAACCCAGATATTTTATGATATTTTAATGGAATAATATCCCCAGTTGCCATGGGCTCTTTTTTGAGTTACGCAAAACTGGCCATTGCTTGGATGCACATCCAAGCATGACTGAGCCCGGGTTTCTCTGAGATTTTAGGTGCCGACCGAAGATTACGATGAGGAAAATAGCTTGGTGACGGAGCAGCCGAAGCCCAGGCGACGCCGAGACAAATTGAGAACGAGTTCTTTGTTATCCATCGGTGTCTCCAAATTCAGATGAACTCTTCACAATGCAAAAAACACATGGAATCTGGTCCTGAAATTAAAAAATCCATTGGCCATGAGGCCAAATGAATCATTATTCGACTGACACGCATGTTTCGTGATGCTTCAGAGCCGCATGTTTGGACTCTGAACTTCATAATTAATTGACCGATCAGCATGATATGCGTGTTTCAGATCTAAAAGAGGGTTTCCAAGTTCCAAAGAAATCTGTGGTGCAATCTCGTGCTTTGCTTTGCAATCTCTGCTCTTTCCTGTTTTGCTGTGAAGTTGGAGGCAGACGAAAAAGTTGAGCAAAAAGCAGCGCCGCAATTTGGCTGCAACGAGCTTTGCCGCAACGATTTGGGACATGTCACTCAGCGGTAGCGAAGCCAGGGATCTCCGCCTCGGACCATCGGACAGCGGCGAACGAGGAGGACGAGGTGCCGGCCGTGGATATCCCGACACGTTTGATTTCCAGAGGGTAAACCATCCGATTCTTGGTTTATTTCCCATATCCTTCTGGGATCTGAACATTCTGAACCATTCATTTTTGGTTTTTCTTCCTCTTTCTTCCATCTTCCCTGGTTTTTGGCATCTCGAAATATGCTTGTGGATATCTTCTTGACAGCTACCCTTCTATTGCAAAATGAGTGTTCTATGGTATCGAGGACATCAACAGGCCAACAGTATTTGAAGTATGATTGGCAAGCATCAGGTGCAAATCACTGGCTGGGATACATTGACCATCATTGACCCAATGGACTTTATCCCAATGACTTTGCTTCTTTTTTTCAGCTTCTTAGGTGATGGAAAAAAGGTGAAGTCCTCGTTATGCAAATCGTCAAACGTCAAACATGGACTCATGGATGTGGGATGCCGCTGAGGTCAGTTGGAAGCTCGTGGCGTTGGGCATTTGCACCTCGACGCAGTGATGGGTTGACTTGGGCGGTCCATGGCGGTCCCGTGCAGCGATTGTGGTGTGCTGGATCTTACTATGGATACCCGGCCTGGTAAACATACAAAAAACCATGGAAAATCACCATTTTTAATGGGTAAATCCACTATAGATTGCCATTTTCAATAGCAAACTGTTTGTTTACCAGAGGGTACTTATGGTATTCTGCCACTCTAAGGGCAAGCAAGACTTACTGTTTGAAGATCACAGGGATGTTCAAAAAAGCAGATGACTTGAAGCGCGTAGCATTTCCTCATATTTCCTTGCAAGTTCGAGATTAAGACGTTGATGCGTTCTGTTCTCATGGAGAGTGGTCAGCGTTGAGGACTAGCTCGGACTAGGATTCTACTGACGATGGGCCCAGCGAAGTGGCGATTGGTTTCAGCAACTGGAACACTCGTTTGACCTTGTTGAGGAGATTGTAAAAAAAAGCCCGTGCCTTCTACCAAGGTGTTGAAGATTCTTTCAAATAGAAATGCAGCAGATTGCCTATCTATTTCATCCAAGATGAACAACAAGCATGAGAATATCATTGCAGTATCCTTTCTGGCACATCTGGATCTGGTGTCACTATGTATACCTTGAACAATCATGGTATCTTTCAAGAAATCAGCTGACCCAATAGGAGTGCTGCTTGCAACACTCCTATAGTGAGTGGTCACCTTCCCATTTGTATGGAGGTTACAATCCTTATTGGCAAAACGTGATTATTTCTTCTGGTCAGATGATCTTGTTTATTCGGCAAGTTGGCGATGCTTTTCTTACATCCCAACTTTTTTTTTCCGAACCAGCAGCTTTCCAAACATTTGTCCTTAGTTTTCCAAACACCCCAGGTTTCAGTCAAAAAATCTCGCCAGATGTGGATCAAAATTCCATGGAATCGCCAGCATTTTCCCATGGGATTTTCCCATAAATTCCACCAAGCAGGTTGTTGCTTGGGCGTGGTGGCCACTGGAGCATCCCTGGCGGTGCTGTCACGCCTCGGCGATGATCAGGTTCCGTGGGGCCCCCATTGCGTTTCCGGGGAGATTTATCCATGGGGTTTCCCTGGCATCCGTCATCAGTCATCATGGCCAAAAATACCATCTTAAACTTAAACTTTATGTTGTATAAGAAATTTATAGCTTTTGAAGAATCCGATGATCACCATGGTTTATCACTTTTTCTATAAGAAATTAATTACGCTATGATGGCGATGTGAAAAAAACAATGATGACTGATGAAAATAAATTTTAACATGGTATTTTTACCTTTAATATATTTCCATCATATTTCCATGTCCATCATATTTTCATCATTTCCATCATAGAATTCATCATTTTCCTTATTTCCATCATATTTCCATCATATTTTCATCATTTCCATCATAGAATTCATCATTTCCATCATATTTCCATCATATTTCCATCATATTTTCATCCTTTCCATCATCGAATTCATCATTTTCCATATTTCCATCATATTTCCATCCTATTTTCCTCATTTCCATCATAGAATTCATCATTTTCCATATTTCCATCATGTTTCCATCATTTCCATCATAGAATTCATCATTTTCTATATTTCCATCATATTTCCATCATATTTCCATCATGTTTCCATCATATTTCCATCATAGATATCATCATATTTCCATCATATTTCCATCATATTTCCATCATAGATATCATCATATTTCCATCATATTTCCATCATAGAATTCATCATTTTCCATATTTCCATCATATTTCCATCATAGATATCATCATATTTCCATCATATTTCCATCATATTTCCATCATATTTTCATCATTTCCATCATAGAATTCATCATTTCCATCATATTTCCATCATATTTCCATCATATTTCCATCATATTTTTATCCTTTCCATCATCGAATTCATCATTTTCCATATTTCCATCATATTTCCATCATAGATATCATCATAGATATCATCATAGATATCATATGATATCATCATATTTCCATCATGTTTCCATCATATTTCCATCATATTTCCATCATATTTCCATCATATTTTCATCCTTTCCATCATCGAATTCATCATTTTTCCATCATAGATATCATCATATTTCCATCATATTTCCATCATATTTCCATCATAGATATCATCATAGATATCATCATAGATATCATATGATATCATCATATTTCCATCATGTTTCCATCATATTTCCATCATCATATTTCCATCATCATATTTCCATCATAGATACATCATATTTCCATCATATTTCCATCATAGATACATCATATTTCCATCATATTTCCATCATAGATATCATCATAGATATCATCATAGATATCATATGATATCATCATATTTCCATCATATTTCCATCATATTTCCATCATCATATTTCCATCATAGATGTCATCATATTTCCATCATATTTCCATCATAGATATCATCATAGATATCATCATAGATATCATATGATATCATATGATATCATCATATTTCCATCATGTTTCCATCATATTTCCATCATAGATATCATCATATTTCCATCATAGATATCATCATATTTCTATCATATTTCCATCATAGATATCATCATAGATATCATCATATTTCCATCATATTTCCATCATATTTCCATCATCGATATCATGATAGATGTCATCATAGATATCATATGATATCATCATATTTCCATCATGTTTCCATCATATTTCCATCATCATATTTCCATCATCATATTTCCATCATAGATATCATCATATTTCCATCATATTTCCATCATATTTCCATCATAGATATCATCATAGATATCATCATAGATATCATATGATATCATATGATATCATCATATTTCCATCATGTTTCCATCATATTTCCATCATAGATATCATCATATTTCCATCATAGATATCATCATATTTCTATCATATTTCCATCATAGATATCATCATAGATATCATCATAGATATCATATGATATCATCATATTTCCATCATGTTTCCATCATATTTCCATCATCATATTTCCATCATCATATTTCCATCATAGATACATCATATTTCCATCATATTTCCATCATAGATATCATCATAGATATCATCATAGATATCATATGATATCATCATATTTCCATCATATTTCCATCATATTTCCATCATCATATTTCCATCATAGATGTCATCATATTTCCATCATATTTCCATCATAGATATCATCATAGATATCATCATAGATATCATATGATATCATATGATATCATCATATTTCCATCATGTTTCCATCATATTTCCATCATAGATATCATCATATTTCCATCATAGATATCATCATATTTCTATCATATTTCCATCATAGATATCATCATAGATATCATCATAGATATCATATGATATCATATGATATCATCATATTTCCATCATGTTTCCATCATATTTCCATCATAGATATCATCATATTTCCATCATAGATATCATCATATTTCCATCATAGATATCATCAATTTTTTCCTGCATCCCCAGGATTTGTCCCGGAGATTTCCAACCCTTTCGGGCCACGACCAGGGCTCCCATGGCACCTTAGGGGACGGCAGTGTGCCCTCGGTGCGGCCGTTGCTGGCGATCTTCGGGCTGCGGCTGGTGGAGGCTTCAGAGGTCAGAAAATCATGGGGAAATCCATGGGAATATCGGAATATCCATTATAAATGGAGGCATGAGTCGGAGAGTTCTATCTATCACCCTACGAACATCCAAGGATACATATCGAGTTTTTTTTGTTTTGTCATGTACCCCTTGCATCATCCAAGTCATGTATGACATGGATGACCATGACATACCATTGAAACCTATGATGACTTGGGGATCCCCCATGTATAGGTATATAATATGTATGCTGTATATATATATACACATATGTATACACATATATGTATAACTATATATAAACAATATATTGGATTCTTATGAGAATATGTTGGGAGGATGATGGGGAATATCATGGCATGGTGATTAATAACATGTTTTTTTCTTTTTCCAGGGGATATAATGGGAATACTATGGGATATATGACTCTTATCACTGAATTTAAACATGGTATGGGTATATCATGGGGGTATGTTTCATCGACTATATGATTTGGTCTGTACTCCGATGCAATTACACTCCTGAAAAAAAGGCAATTTTCTTGGGAAAATGATGACAACCAAATGCTGAGGATTCATCCCCATGGATGGAATGGAAAAGGCCTATTTCCAGGCAAACCCAAAGGCCATCTTGTTGGTTATATCCCATATATGCCAATATAGACCCATTATATATAGCCATTTATCATCATTTATCGGTTTAAAGAACAGATTGCAGGGCCCCTCTAGATTTTATGGAAAAAAACCATAAAAAACACATGGTTTCCTCTAGATTTTCCTTTAAGTAAACCATTAAATTCATTGATCCCCATATTATCTCATTCTATATCCATGATATAACCATGATATAGCCATTCTAGCCATTTATTGATACAAGGTGGGGCCCCCGTTCGATAGCTAAGTTGTTTTTTTCACTCCAGTAACTATGGTTTATGGTATTTATAACTATAGTATTCATGGGGTTTATAAACCAACTTAGCTATCTAGGGGGGCCATTTATTGATAGGTACCCTCTGGTAAACTAACATAGCGAACTGGAAAATCCACCCATTTTATAGCTGGGAAAACTCACTATTTCAATAGCCATTTTCAATAGCTACGTTAAATTACCAGAGGGTACATAAATTCCCCATTTCTCCACCATTTTTGGTGCCAGCGAGGCCCTGCCCAGCGACAATGCCGTCGCCTGGCTCGCCTCGCGGCTGCTGTCCTCGCAGGCCGTGGACGACGCCGTGAACGGCGGCGCGTTTCGGGTGCCGGAGGCGCACCGAACGGGGGGGAGATGGGGAACCATTGAGCATTGAAGGCTGTTGGATATATAATGGTATGTATATATACATATATATATAATGGGTAAATAATGGGTATATATATATATATCCAACAGTATTGGTATAGAATGGGTATATAATAACTGAGCATTAAACATTGGGAGAACAATACTGATTATATTCTGATATATTCTGATGATTGAATGATCATTCCGGAATGATTGCCCTCTGGTAATTTTTCACAGTTTGCGAACTGGAAAATCACCATGTTGCATGGGTAAAAAATGAATGGGTAAAAAATAAATGAACATTTTCCTCAGCTATGGTAGTTTACCAGAGGGTATTCTCTTGTCCAAAAATGATGATTTTGAAACCGCACCCTTTTCTGGGTATTACATCAACCATGGGTTTGGAGTATTGACATTTGAAATCGAATTTCGACCGTAATTTAAAAGGTGGATATAGATTTGGGTACATGTTTAAACATAAAACATACAGGTTAATATACAGGGTAAACCATCCGGTGAACCGCAGTTACGCTGTAGTTAGATACTTTGTTAAGTATAGATGGGGAACATGTTCACGACAGCCAAAAAAACACATTATTCGGCTTGGTATTAAAGATTGGCTACGTGGGTGGAGAGTCATGGGTGTTTCTTTTTGTTTCTCCAAACCCGATATGGGTGTCAAGTCACTGGCAGACCAAAAGTTGATGCGTTTGAACAACACTCAAATCAGTGATGGGCCCAGAATTTTTGAATTATATGCATATCTCACGGGTATGTTTCGGGTGAACATTGCATCCACATCAGTGAATCCTAGCTTCAGACACGGCAATGTTTTCGAGGGTGTTGCTTTGAGGTTTTCATGCTTGGATATGTTTTTTTGCAATTTTTCCAACTTCAGGGTGTGGGTACAGGAGCACCGCTGGGCCCAGAAGCACTAACCACTTGAGCCGTGGCCCACACTTCCTGTGATTCTTGTTTTTTGCAAGTTACAGGATATTCAAAATTATATTTATCATGAGCTGCATGATGAGCATCACCAATGAGTATCTGTGTCCCATTTCCATCAATGCTAGCAGCTGCATCTTTGGCCTTTTGCCATTCCCCATGTTTTTGCAGGACCCAAAAACGCTGCCCTGAAGGGCCCTCAATTTTCTGTCCTGAAAGATTCCCCCCGTCTTTTGCCCCTGAAATCCCAACATTTCTACATCCTTTGCCCAAATTTTCCCACCATAAACTGCTCAAACTTGACCCCTCCAAATCCTCTATTTTCGACCCGACTTCGCAGCTCAGGGTCGCCCGCAGCTGCTTCCAGATGGCCAGCTAGTCCAATCTTGGCGGCCCAAGGCCAATGCCAAGGCAGGTCGGCAGCTGGCTGAAAAGGCCAAGCGACTCAGAGACTTCGGCCGAACACTGGGACATGGCGGGTTTAAGCCTTAACAATTGGGATTTGACCATGAAAAATGTGGGTGTAATGGTGGTATACTGTTTCTTTTTTTGATATATATATATATACATATATACATATATATACATATATATATATATACATATATATATATACATATATATACACACATAAAACATAAAAATATGATATATATATATATCTATCTGCCTATCTTTCTAATTTACTCCAGTAACTAGTTTCGAACGTGTGTGGAAATACATGGGTTCCCTCATTCAGGTTTTTCATTTCCATGTCAGTAAAAAATGGAGGGTTGCAATGCAACAGTTTTTTGTGCAACCAATAGATTCGATGGATTAAAGCATGAAACATGGGGATCTCACCTTGGTCAACTGCCTGGTGGGACCACTTGGGTGTGGGGGTTTTGGGTGGAAAACAAGTGTGGTAGGTTTGGTAGGATTTCTGGCTATTGTAACCCCGAAACAGATCAATGATTTTCCCAAATCTTGCTTGCCCATCTTTTTCAAGGTTGCTATAATTTTCGTTGCCATTTTCATGGGAAAATAGGGAATGAAATGGACATGCGATAGCCATGTGAAGATGGATCCACCCAAATAAGGGTTGCTACATGAGGGTCCCTAAGACTATGACTCGCCGAAAAATCTGGAGATCCACTAGTGACAGCCAAGAGTTTCTTCAGGTCAAAACGATTTCAGGTATTTTTTTGTAGAGCTACACCTCAGAATTTCTCGCACGTCAGATCATCTTCCAGGCGTCTTGTTTTCTGGTTTGATGTGAAATTTCAGGGGGTGTAGAGAGTAGAGGCCTGGGATAAGGTAGATTCACCACATGACGACAAAGGCTAGGTTCTTGCAGATGCCCATCAGTAGGGTTCTTCAGTGGTTGAAGAGAACGTCTGCAAGAAACCATGGATTAAAGAGCCAAATCTACTTCTCCCCTGCCATTTTTCCCTAGTTCTGGGAGCAGATGATTCCCTCATGGCATCAAGCAGTGTAAGACTTGTTGGTTGGGCGTTTCACATTAGATACAACTGTTGGGTCTCTATCTCGGTTGATGGGGGCCGCAAGTGTTTTTCACCTGTGCGGTCCCAGGTTAAAGTCCAGGTGAATTCCTGTTCCAAACTTGAAGGTGTTGTTCCACCTTGCTATGGAAGGATGGAACTATCCACCGAAATCCCTTACAAATGGAGGTTTTAGTGGGACAATCATCTAAATCAATCTATATCATCTACAATATATGAAGATTTTCGTCATGAAGGGTACCTGTTGGGCCTCGGGATAGTGGTCGCCCAGGAGCTGTCGTTGTGGGGCCCATTGCAGAGATCCTACAGGCACACCCAAGTTGGTGCCCCCGGGTCCATTGGTCCACTGAGAGCTAAAGCTAAACTGGTTGGTGGTTTGGAACATGAATTTTATTTTCCATTTCATTTCAATGGGATGTCATCCGAAACCCATTGACTTTCACTCCATCATTTCTCAAGATGGTTAAAACGCACCACCAACCAGTTAACATGTATTAACCAAAATAAAAACCATTATTAGCACTGATTAACCACTATTAACAATGATTAACCGTTATTAACCACTGTTCAGTGTACCTCTTTTTCACATGACATGTGACCGACATGTGATTCTGGGTGTAGAGCGCCCGTAACTTGTTGAAGACTCTTTTGGTCCGGATCTATGGCAGCGCCCTGTGCAGTCATGAACCCTTTTCTCGCTGAACGGCGAGAAACTCTCTTTGCGCACATTCACACACACACATATACATATATGTATATATATATATATATGTATATATATATATATATGTATATATAGTTACATATATATATATACATTCATTTATTGTATAGATTCCTTTCTGACTGGAATATAGCAGCATGTTGATTTTCCATTGCCATGCTTGATGAGCCAAGGGTAAGTAAACCTTCCATCCCTGGTTCTAATCCCGTCGTCGAAAATCTATTGCTTCTCCTCATGCACACCAAGTCAAATTTGATGTGTGTTCAACTGGCCGCAGTGTCATGGGGCAGCCAACTGGCTCAGAATAATCTTGGGGCATATGGTGATTGCATGCCATTTCCAGCTATTTATTCTGAAAATGCCAGGGTATCAGGCTTTCACCCGTACCATATCTATCAGGCGGCGAATGGCCTTCAATCAGCGCTGGTTGAAATGAAACTTTCTTGAAGTTGTATCTTGGGGTCACTTGAAGTGAGAGCAAACATGAAGCCGCCCAGAAATCGGATGGATTCCGATGGATCAAAGACACCGCAATTCACAACGTCGTTTGAGATTTTGGGATCACCATGGCGCCTGAAGCGGTGCCACCGGTGCCCGCACCCTCACCTCGCAGTGCCCAGAGGCGTCTTTGCTTTGCACAGAAGGTACCCGTTTTTTTTTGTTTCACTTGAGCATCTCAGTCAGATGACTTCAAGGCTTTTTTTTCCTGGTTCTTTTTTCGATTTTGTTTCAATCTTTTCAGCCAATACTCAATCAACTGTTAGATGTGGATTCTACAATTTTTTCACTTGGGCCGATCAGCAGGGCCTCCACTCGGCTTTGGAATCCCTCCATTTTTTCATTTTTCCCCCAAGGATGGTGCCACTGGCTGCCTACGAGCCGAAGGCGTACTGGCAACGAGTGAGGCCGTCCTTTTTTTGTGGTACTCGGAAGATGGTATGCCCCAGGGCCCATCGAAAAATACCTCGAAAACACCGCCATGTGTAGATCAATTTTCTCCATGTTCTCCATGGCACTTTGATGAAAATTACCGGAAATGGATCTATCCCCACTGGTGAAGATTTTCTTTGTGATTACTCCTCTTGGTAAAAAGACACACGGCAAAAGAAGCCTTCCCAGGGCATTGTACGCATCATCAACAGACCCTTGGCTAGCGACAGGCCGTTGGCGACGGTGAAGGTGTCTGACGTTCCAATTATATACTGTTTCATATTACAAGTCATATGTACATATAACTATATATAACTATATATATATACATATAGCCTATTGATCACTATACAGCTTGATTAGCGTCAAGATCCGTTGAATCCTTAATTAGATGAATTACTTGAACCCTGTGGTAATCAAGATGATGTTTGGAAATGGCACCCAGTGGTAAGCAAAGCCAGTGGGAAATCTGTGAAGGATCAGATATTTGATTCCGAAGATTCCGATTCCAAGCAACATACCCTCTGGTAAACTATATAACATAGCTATGGAAAGATCCACCATTTTCTAGCTGGGTAAATCCACTATTTCGACTGGGCCATTTTCAATAGCAAACTGTTAGTCATTACCAGAGGGTATAGTCTGTCAAATTCATTTCCATTGACTGGGATGTATGCCCCATAAGGAAATGGCTGTCGGTATGGCTAGATAGTTGGACTACCGGAAAGGGATTGCTCATGGTGTTGAGTCGGAACGTTCCTAGTACTGGTCTAGGGGGGACAATACAGGAGATTTGATTTGATGGTAAAAACATGCAAAAACCAACGTTTCCCGTAGCATTTCCCTTCTATGAACCCAGTACAGCGCGCAGTGTCTCAACCCAGATTTGCCATCATTCAACGTTTGTAAAACCACACATTGAACAACCAAACCTGCCAAACCATTGCCATTGCCATTGCCATCGTATCCCCAGGCGGTGATCTTGGGGAACGTCTTGGAATGGTACGACTGGACGGTCTTCGGCTATATGTGCTCTCGTTGGCAATTGGGTGTCTTCATAATTAACAGAAAATATAGTTAACCATACCCAATTTTCAGAAGACCATATTGCCCATAGTTACCATAACCATAGTAATATTGGGTATTTACTATAATTTAGTTAACATCTCACAACCATATTGAGTATATATTGCGTATATAGTCATAATGTGTCATAATTAACTTAATTAACATCAAGTATAGTTTGTGGTGTGGGATCTATGACTTTTTTGACATGACAATTCGTCATTTCGATGGGTTCTCATCACCGATGGGAGATGGTCTCCATCATGACATCTTTCCAAGTTTCTCTTGTTTGTGTCCCAATTTTTGTTGGCTAAGTGGTTATTTCATGTTTCTTCTGTTGCTTATATCCCATGACTTTGTTTGATCATGTTTTCTCCCATTTTTTGGGGCGGTTCCGCATCATTTCGAATCCCAATTTGCACCTGGGAAATGAGGCAAGACATCATGAAAGACGTCTTTGGATCTGGCAGTGGCTCGCAGGCGGGGGTGGAGTCGACAGAAGACTCGTTGGACTGAGTCTGTTTAGACAAGGAGGTCATTGAATCGAGAAGTGATATATGTAGAAATATAACATTGATGCTTTATGTTTTGATGTATATACAAGTATTATATATGTATATCATTTTGGCGTTCTGTTATTCTATACATACGCATATAATATGAAAACATGTGTATATATATACCGATATATATACTGTGACAACACAAACCTGCATGATGTGGAGAGATAACCAGCAGTGTTTTTCCACAAACCATAACAGTGTCATAACACAAACCCACATGATTGGACGGCTCATCATCATTGTTCGGTCTTGCCTGCTCCTCACAGGTCGCCTCTCCTCGATGTTTTTCCTGGACGCAGCCATATGAATCAAGTCTTGCCGCGCTGACTGCATGCAACAGCAATATAGTTTCTGTTTTTTTGCATGAGCCAGACATGATTTTGTATGCTTTGAAATGCCGAGGCCATGCTTTGGCCGCACTCATTAGGTCATCTTCCTTGCTTCCATTCGAATTCAGCTGTATCAGACAGGATTGGTTTGACATGACACGAATGTTTTCAATGAGTCTGCCGACAGATAGTTTTTCTGCGGTCAGTCATGCAGCCGCCCTGTGGTGTGGCCGAAGGCACATCTGATGCCAGGGTGTCAGACTTGAAGGAAGCCTTGGTGCAGAATGGCAAAGCACTGAAAGCGGCTTATCGGCAGAATGCCAAAAAACGGAAAAGGTTGCACTGTGCCGGCCTTGGAGTGGCAGCCCGCAAAACTGTGGTAGCTGTTTACATGCTGTCGAATTTTAACATGGATTTGACTCTCCGCATGGCTTGTGCTTTGACAACGATATCCTATGGCAGCAATGGGTACCCCACGGCAGCTTTGATCCAAGAGATGTTGCTGACGACGCCGCTGCCAGATTTGACCGCTTTGGATGACACAGCTTCACGCAAAGCGCAAGCCTTCCTGGCCGAAGCAGCCACGGAGCAGTGGGTCTATGACTGCAATACGAATCATGGTCAAGCACCTTCTGCGATGGACACGTTTTTGAAGTGGGAGGAGGCCTTCCATGGCCAGAAGCTGGACATGGGTGTGCCAAACAAACGCATGGTCAATAAGTGGGTGCAGCGCTGACGGGCTCGGTGGGGCGTCCGCCGGAAGGTGCTGACGCAAGTTGTTAGCAGAGACCCCGCTGTACTGCGCGACAAGGCGCGGGCCAGCCAACTTACAACATGTTGTCTTCTTTTTTTGGGTTGGGTGGCTCCATTTTTGGGGCCGGAATGTGGCCCCAAAAATGGGTCCCCCTCATGTTTCATGCCTGTATAAGCCTACTTAATCCCGGTTGGGCGGTCCCATTTTTGGGGCCAGAATCTGGCACCAAAAATAGGCCCCCATTTTCAATCAATTTCTTCCCTCGGAATTATATTTGGGGACCCTATATATAATAAGGCTTTGTCTTTCACTTCCTGCAGCGCTCGAGCAGGTCATGACATTTTGGCGGACCATCTGCTGTGGCAGCTTTTATAAATCTGCTTTTTATAAATCTGGATGAGACTAGCGTCGGCCACACGCCTATTGGATGTGTGGCAAAGCCACGGACAGCAGGTGGCAAACAGCCGCATGCACAGGTGCTGAAGCAACATGTTCGAGTTGCGTGGACTTATGTCAGCGTGATTTGCAACTGCAAGCACATCCAAGGGAAGTTGCCTCATTTTCTCATTGGCACCCAGGTGAAACTCACGAAGAAGCTCTTGCGCGCCCAGCGCGCTTTGCCACAAACTCGTTTGCGTTTTGCGGCAAAAGTCCGCTTGGACCTCTGCTGCCAACAGTGCCCAAATTCTCAAAGAGATCGCAGAAGTGCTCAAAGGTTTTCCGTCAAAACAAGGCGTTGTACTCCTTGATTGTGCGCCGGCACACCTGCCACGGCAGGTCATGGCAATGGCACGCAAGTGCAAGCTGCAGCTTGTATATATCCCAGCGCAGACAACGGATTACCTACAGCCGCTTGATCTGCAAGGCTTCTCCCCTTTTAAACAATATTTGAAAAGGAAGCACCAGGAGTTGCGCTCATATTCAGAGCATGGTTTAGTGCCTCCTCTGGCCTGGCTATGGCAGTGCATGCAAGCCCCACACGAATTTTGGGCAGCTCGGCAATGGCAGAAAAGCTTCGATGCAGTGGGCTGCAATGGCCCAGGTCAAGTGCACAAAGCGCTTCGACACTTGATGGGTGCAGGGGTGCCTTGGCCTGGGCCTGACAGGCCGACACCCAGCAGATGCAGTGGGTTTGGCCAGCGCGACGCCAAATGGCGCACGCGTATAAGGCTCTTTTTCTTTGATGCTGCCGCTCCGGGTGGATCCAAAAGATTTGCAGACGTGGGTGGCACTATAGGACAAATATTTTTTTCCCATAATACTATGGGGGTACATGGTACGGGAGTCCCTTTGGCATCACTTTTCAAGCCCCCAGTTTTGGGCCCCCACCGGCCATGTTTTGTCACACTATCTTCCAGTTGTGCAGTTTGAGAAAATTGGCATGGAAGCTGTCCAGACGGCATGGCTTCTGCAGCTAGCACTGCTCACAGCTCGTCGCAGAAAACACAATTTGACTATATCTATAGCCATGTCGTCTGCCGCCGCTGGTATGGAAAGGGATGCTGCGGAAGGTGCTGCTGTAGCCCATGTGCCCGGGATGGATGACCGTATAGCTGCTTTGAAAGCTGAAAGGCAGGCCTTGAAACGCCAGCTGCAGCAAACCAGTCGAGAAGTCAAGGCCCAGGCTGGTTCAATTTCATCCTTGTGTGCCATGTTTGTGTTGGTGAAGCTGTATTGACATTCCATCGTGCCACTTGCACCTTCATCTTTCCCATCTCAGGTTTTTTTTGGTGAAGCTGCATTGCACCTGCATCGCACCACTTGTACTTTCAATCTTTTTGTTTCAGCCCTGCGCCAGGAGAAAAAACGACGCAGAGTCCTGAAATCGGCGGGCAAACTGAGCACCCAAGACCTCTCGTGGCCCCTGGCCTTCAAAATGACCCGTCAGCAGTAGCAGCTTCTTCAAAACTATATGTCTCACTGAAGCACTTGTGACTGCTGTCTCCCGAGGAGCCAGCAGCAGCTTCCGCAAAACTATATGTCTCACTGAAGCACTTGAGACTGCTGTCTCTAAAGGAGTCAGACAGGAATGTGGTGAAGTCACACGCGGCAGGTTACCTAACGACTGCTGTCTCCCAAGGCACCAAAAACACGTTTTTGCGTGCTTTGGCACCTGTTTTTGCTGTGGCCCCAAAAAAACCACTAAGGATACTTCCAACCATTTTCGCAGACTTTGTATTGGCACGGCAGAGTCACAGCTCATGCACGCATGAAAAACTAGGCAACCGGTTGACTTGGCGCCCTTGTAAGGGTGACGAATTTGAAATTCTGATTTTTGAGGCTAAGAGACAAAATGCTGGTATTTGCAGGAGTCGTCAAAAAATGCTTGCAACATGGACATTCATTTCGATTGGCAGGCGTGTGACTCAAGAGTGGAAATTTGCGTTTCGCCTGCGCGGTGACTCGATTTTGCTCTTCAAGGGTCCAAAAAAAACATTAGAAATCTATGATTTTCAATCATCCGAATCATATCAGGCCGACATTCACTCATCCAGTTGTTTCCTCTTCTCGACGCTTCAGTGCCAGAGCGCCTGTGGCAACGCAGAAGCCACAGACTGCAACAAGGCAGCATTGTGACGCCATGTCCAGCTGTAGGCCCAAGTGTATCTTTTTTGTACACTTGTTGATTTTTTTGACATAGGTCGCCATTTTCTGAGGCGTTTCCATGTTCCATCTATTTGTTGAGTACCAGCAACAATGGTTCTATAGGATTTACCCCACAAAGGACCTCGAAAATGATAAGTCTTAGTAAAGATATTTTGTTTGTGGTTGACTTGGGCCATCTTGAATCTTTTATGGGGAGAAGCCTTGGTGCCAAAATAGGTTCACGCAAGAAATCCAACAAAAGCGCGTCAGAAAGCATGTGCAACATGTCAACAACGGCAACATGTTCCGTAACGTAAGGGAAATGCTCGTCAAGGGCGTTAATACACCCCCCACACCCCTGATGATCATACGACAGCATGTGCAACGTGTACATGTTCCATAATGCAAGAGAAGTGCTCGTCAAGGACGTTAATACACCTCCCCCCCACCCCCACCCCCCTGATGATCATACGACAGCATGTGCAACATGTCAAAGATGCCAAAAAATCAAATTCTATACCCCCATTTCGGAAAGCCTCATTTTTGAAATTTGCAACCCTTCCAAGAGATCGTAAATGGCACATCTCAAAATTAACAACCCTTCCAAGGGCGCCGTATCAGCCGCATGCCAAAAACTACTAACCCGTGAAATTGAAATCATAATGGCTTGGACGCAAAACTACTAAGCATTTCTGCCAACTGAAAAGAAATAGAAGAAAGTGTTTCCTTTTTTGTCCATTGAACAATTCCTTAGTAGTTTTGCCACCGAGCCAATACAAAGTTTGAAATTCCCCTTAGTAGTTTTCACACAGAAGCATAGTAGTTTTGCGGCAGAGCCAATATAAAGTTGTGACATCGTGCTTAGTAGTTTCACACCGAAGCATGCTAGTGTTGCAGTGGAGCCAATGCAAAGATTGACATCGCCATTGATCATTGTTAGTTTTCACACACAAACATCACGCGGTTGCTTCCGTGCCGATGGATCACGTGCTTCCAGCTGCTTTCAGCTGCTTCCAGCTGCTTCCAGCTGCTTCCAGCTGCTTCCAGCTGCTTCCAGCTGCTTCCAGCTGCTTCCAGCTGCTTCCGTGGATCCTGTCAGCTGGTGGCAACGTGGCAAAATTCTTGGCTAAAGGTTTCCCAGCTGTCGATGGATGACAACCAGTCCGATGCAGCATGCTGCCCGGAGAATGTACTGGACGACATGCAAAGCTTGCAGCCTTGTCGCTGCGATGTGCCAGCTGCAGTGACAGTGTGTGTGTGTGTTTCTAGACCTAATTAAAAAACCCGTTTCAGGCCCGGGCAGAGAACCTTTTAGCCTTGCAGCTACGATGTGCCAGCTGCAGTGCTGGTCTGTGTTTCTACCTAATTACTAATTCAAAAGCCAACGGCCAGTGAAGCATTTCATCTTGCAGCTGCGATGTGCCACCTGCAGTGACGGCACATGTGTTTCTTCCTAATTCAAAGGGCCTTTCCGGCCACATGTTGGCCCCCCCTGCACCCCCCGGAATCAAGGTTGACGAAAATGTCTTGCTGTGAAGACCTGACGCTTTGGAAGTTGGCTGCTGCAGTGATTAACACCAGGAAACAACATTGATCCTGGGGGTGCGGGGGGGGAGCCGCTGCTTTGACCCTATACGTGGGGCCTCGTGCTGTGTGTGCAAAAGGTCTGAATTTGGGGTCGCTAACGGACGCTGATTTCAGCCTTCTTCATTGAGGGCCCTCCTTGTATATATACCAATATATACATATATATATACCAATATATATATATATATATATATACATATTTATGGATATAGAGCTGCCGACAGAATTATAGAAAAAAGGATAGAAAAATGCGCAGCTGACGGAGACAAAAAAAGATCAGTTTAACATTTTTTTCCCAAAGTTTTTTTTCTATAATTACTTTATTTCCCCCATAATTCTGTCGGTGGCTATAATCCTGAGGGAATTCGGCAGGGTTTACCCCAAATACAGGGGCCATATGAATTATGGAAACAACCAAAAGTCTCCGACAGAATTATAGAAAAAACCCTGGAAATGGCCAGAAGTTATTGATAAAAACAACATTTTTGGTTGTTAACACTTGTGGGGAAAACTCAATTATAGAAATCACTGAAACGGCAGGTGCTGCATGGTGCTGCCGTACTTTTTATTTTATATTTCGTCTATAATTCTGTCGGTGACCATATATACATTTATATATATATAGGCCTATGAATATGAATTTACGTATGTGCAATCTTGGTTCTTGGTTCCAGGGTCATATGTGCGTATATACGCCCACAAACCTCTCCTCAGGTATTGAATCATTGTATTCAATATTCCTGGTTGCTTCTTACGCACGATATGCGTGTCGGATCTAGCGCGGTGCTCATTTTCATGTCGCTTGCCCACCCCTCTGCGCACTTTGTTCCGGTGGGATTGCCCTTCTCCTGGCGCGGTGCTCATTCTGATATTGTGTTTGTAAGAACGTTTTTGTGTGTAGTGCGGCTAGACAGATGAGATGCCCGCTTCTAACGGGACAAAGGTCCCATGAGCATCCATGGAAATGCTGGCAAAAAGATGCGAAGCAGTGCAGGTTGTCATCAGCTTCACTCTGTCACTATCACCATCACCTCCATGACGCTGATTATGACAACCATGCTGACGATGATGACGATGAGGATGAGGATGATGATGATGATGATGATGATGGTGATGGTGATGGTGATGGTGAAGAGGTAAGGAAGCAGATGATGAGGAGGAGGAGCCAGCAAGGAAGAAGAGAAAGAGGGTGCGAAGCCGTGGTCTATTGGGGGGGCTCAAGGTGCAAGCTTCTGAAGAAGGAATGCATGCTTAGGGGCAAAGGTGGGGGACCATCGGTCCAGATCAAGAAAGAGGAGAAGAAGAGATGCCTGCTGCACAACCTCTCCCCCCACCAGGATTTACATTTCCTGAGCGATTTCTTTGTTTCGACCTCCCAAGCAACCTTGAAAATTTATTTGGGAAGACCGAGCCACCTCCAACTGTTTTGTCATCCTTTGGTGGTGTTCGTCCCCACCCCAACAAACAGGTCCAAGCCTTCAAGGCAGAGATCTGTCCAGCCAGAGATCTTCACAGCCTTGGACAGCCTTGTATGAGCTGGGAGTTGAGGTGCCCCTACCAACCCTCTCTCTCTTTTTTCCTCTCTCTCTCTCTCTTTTTTCCTCTCTCTCTCTCTTTTCCTCTCTCTTTTGCTCTCTCTTTTCCTCTCTCTTTTGCTCTCTCTTTTCCTCTCTCTTTTGCTCTGTCTTTTCCTCTCTCTTTTGCTCTCTCTCTTTTCCTCTCTCTTTTTTCCTCTCTCTTTTTTCCTTTCTCTTTTTTCCTTTCTCTCTCTCTCTCTCTATCTTTTTTCATTTACTCTTCCAGGGCCAGCTGGCGGCCCGCAGATCCCCATCAAAACTTTTAGGCAGATCCTCATCCATTCAGATCACTCAGTCTGTCCTCCATAGCTGTGACCCCCCTGTCAATTTGGGCCAGGCCTGGTTGCTGTTTGCCGTGCCCTTCCTGGCCCGACCTTTGGGCAGTGTCTTCTTTGGATGGAGCCTGGGCAGAGGGGAGAAAGGATAATCATGGATAATCATCCAAAGCTCATAACGCAGTCTCATTCATGATTCTGATATTGGACATCTAAAATGTATTATGAATATATAATCCTATGCATTTTTGCATTTTTTCAAAACAAAGGATGCCAGTATGCATGAAATCTATAATTTTTGTCTCAATTGTTCTTTTAGTATCCAAATTGGTTTTTGTAGCCTTTCGACCGCGGAGTTTTCTGATTTCCAATTTTATGTGTGTACAGATACATACGTACGTACGTACGTGCGTGCGTACGTGCGTGCCTACGCACGCACGCACGCACGCACGCACGCACGCACGCTTGCACGCTTGCACGCTTGCACATACGCACATACGCGCATACATACATACATACATACATACATACGGACGGACGGACGGACGGACGGACCGACGGACCGAAGGACCGACGGACCGACGGACCGACGGACCGACGGACAGACAGACAGACAGACAGACAGACAGCCATACACGCATCCATCCATCCATCCATCCATCCATTCATCCATACATCCATACATCCATACATCCATCCATCCATGCATCCATGCATCCATGCATCCATGCATCCATGCATCCATGCATCCATGCATCCATGCATCCATGCATCCATGCATCCATGCATCCATGCATCCATCCATCCATCCATCCATCCATCCATCCATCCATATATCCATCCATACATCCATACATCCATACATCCATCCATCCATCCATCCATACATACAGGTACATAAGCCCAAGATACGAACAATTGGGTTTCGGGGGATGTTTAACGTGTGCTACAAAATCTTGAACCGTAGCAGTGCTTATGGGAGAAACATGCATACACCACGTGAACAACAATGTTGTGGGTTGTTCACACAGTTTGGAATGGATTGCACTATGGTGTTCAGAACCCCAATAGAGGAAACGTCTCCACTTGCCAGCATTGGCATAGGTGGGTTTGTCCGAACATGTGGCACCCATGGTCAATCATCATTTTTCCCGGTTGAAATTGCACTTTGTGGGGGGGTATACCTTATTTTCATGCATACCCAGGTGGCCCCTGTTTTTGCCTCATGTCGTCCTGAGGATTGGCGACGTCTGTGGCCGCGCCACGTCATTGAAAATTGCCATCTGGGGCATGGCACTGTGCACTGTGCTGCAGGGCTGCTTGATCCCCAACACCCCAGGCGTGAGTTCAATGGGTGTCAAGTAAGTGGGCAACCCAAGAGTTGAAATTTTTACCTGTTCAAATCCTGAGAATGGCGGAAATCTGTTGTTTTTCAGGTACTTTTGTCCGACTGACACTGGAAGAAAGGGCGGGTGCCGCGTCAGGCGTCGCGGTGCTTCTGGCAGGGTTGCGGATCGTGACGGGGCTTTCGGCAGGCCCATCCGATGCCTGGGACCAGTCATCACATCACCACACTGAACGGGAATTTACCAGTGAAAAGGTGTTTGTTAAACATGTTTTGTGGGTCTTTCAAATTCATCAGGAATGGTCCATCTCACCATATTCGGGTATCTTCTTTGGAAATTGTGTACCCAATGTGGTACCCCCCATATTTCCGGATGCTTTAGCCAGTACAGGAATGACTCTCCACGATCGATAGGTGGCGAGTCCGCGGGCGTCAACACCTACATGTCTGAGGTGGGAGACGAGGCGAACAATCTGCGAGTGTCGCCCTGGGATTTGGTCAATGGCCCCAACTGGGCGCCAGCTGGAGCTATGAAAAGATATCATCAATGGCCATTTCAGGAACCTCAATTGGCCCCATTTCAGGCCACTTAGGTTTCATCTGCAGGTCAGTGAATCATGGTAGTTCAGCTAAAGCCAAGTTTTGTTTGGGATTTAATGTATGGGGGAAGGCTTCAAATGGGGAGCCATCACGAAGCTACGAACTCAGAGTCCGGACCACATGACTTTGTGCGGGAAATCCAATGAGATTTGGAAACAAGATATGTATGTTTATGATTGTGTATGTATAATAGGGAATTATTGGAATGTCATGGGATATGAGCAACGCTGTCCGGAAGTTTGTTTGTTGGGCAATCCCTATGGCGACAAAGCCAGTTCCACCTTTAGTTGGGATGATGTACAATGACCGCCCAATGGATTACTATTGGGATAGCTCATTCCAAGTTGTCAAGGAAAACTACTGTTCTCGTTTCGCGCGAGCAGTGAACACCATTCAAGTCATCAGTTCTTCTGCGGGGCATGTGTTTAAACCCCAGAATAGTACTGAGCCATGATATCCGCCCATCATTCCCCCCGGTTTTGTTGATTAGATATCCACCCGTTGTGGTGCTCCTCATGCCTCAGTCTTTGACAGGGCCGAGAACACACGCTGGGCGCAGCCATCGGCGTGAACAATCTCAGCGGTTTCATGGCACTGCGAAATAGGGGCGAGATAGGAAAGCTTGCAATGCTGAACCCGATATGCTACGCAAAATATTAACCCAGATAAATAACCCTCCAGTTTATTAATATGGGGGGTTCCCCAAATAGTGATTTATTTCCTAAATGGTACCCGGTTTATTCATCCTGGGTTGATATTACGAATGCGGTTATAACTACCCCAATCTACTCGTAGTCAACTCGCATATTTCTTTTTAGCGCGCGGGAAGCAAGTTGGAAGATAACAACGCATAGCGTGAAACAGAAACAGCAGGCTGGGATCAATTTGCTTAGCATTTGCTGATATTCTGCTTGGGATGCTGCTAAACTTGCTAAGCCTAAGAGTTCCCAAAATTGGGAGTTCGCTTTCAAAGCCAATTTTCCCCTTGCTGCAACCGCCTGTTCAGGTTTTCATTCACTGAACACCCTAAGAGGATTGCCGAACTCTTCAATTGGACAATGGAAAATTCATGGGCACCCCAATGGTATTTGCTCACCCAACGGCCGATTAGCATACTTGTCATTCTTGTCATAGATACCCTTCTCTGAATATGATTTTTCCTATGGCAACGGAAGTTTGATGGGGCCCGTTAGGTGTCATTAGTTGGGCCACATCCCACACTTCACCTCGCCCTATTTTTGAGCGAGGTTCTTTAGCTTTCCTTCTTGCCAACGTGGTGTTGCTGCTGGTGCATCTCCTCCCTCGAGAGCAACAACTTGCATCCTGGCGTGGCCCAACCGGGTGCCGGCGAAATCACCGATTTGTGGCAAGGGTCGATTAAACATCCAACATTGTTGGCCAAATACTGTAACAACGCTTTCTGTTGTTGGCTTGTAGAATAAAAAACGTTTTTTGGCACATTCCGAAGCAATAAATAGGACACACCCGGGGACGAACGGTCACGGTGGCAGCAGGACCATCATTTGAATATCTACGATCTCGGCCCCCACCAAAATGTGGATAGACATAGCATACATCTGGGCAAAGTACGACAACCTCCCAGGAGCTTTTTAGATTGTTGGTGAGTTGTAGCCCCACCTCTTGTAAGCACTTTCATTTTTTTAGTCTTCGAACGTAACAGAGAATTACGGATCAACCTGGGAGTGGAACGTGCACCATTTTGAGACCCAGTTCCTAGGAGGAATTGATTATAGCAAGTGACTTGATTTTTTTTCAGGAGATCATCAATTCCACATATGATCATTTTGGGATATTTCATATCAATTTTGGATTCTATATCCTCATGACGTATCCCTATATCCCGCTTTCAAATTTTCTTAGATTCCCCCAACTGGTTATACTAATATCTTGCTATCCATATTTGTTCAGCAAACATCAGCAGTATTCACATATTACCAGTATTGACAATAGATTGTGTACTATTGACAATATACTATAGTATGTTATAATGATATCAACGGATACTGTATTGATATCCAGTTGTTAAGGGTATATCCAATTATTAGCCTATTGTCCAACACTTTTTATGATAACATAGCATGGGATATCCGTATATGGAAAATGGAACACGGCTCATTTATAGATGATTTATTTATTAAGAATGGCAATTACCAATATATTTTCCATTGATATTATTTAGATATAATACAGTACTATGATGATTCTCATTTTATTAATATGTCCATCGATCGCCACGACGGTTTATCTATTAATAATGGTGATTACATATATATATATACATAATTACATATACATATAATTCATTTTTATCCGATTATCACTATTGATATCCATTCATATCCAATTGTCCTACTATTTCTATTATAACATAAACATACATATATACATTATGTATATATATATATACATACAGTATATATATATTGATAATGTTATTATTGTTTATTATGACTATTATTATCCATGGATATTGCTGCAATTGCTATATCATGCTATATCCAACATGATCAACATCCCCAGCTGAAGCCCAGGCCTGGGCGTGGCGCGTGCCCTTTCTGCTGGCTTTGCCACTGGGGGTGGCTTCCATCATCCTGAGGAGGTGGGGCTGGGGTCGGGCACCTTGGACCATGCACCGAAGGTGGGATTTTACGCCCCAAAACTTGGGATTTTACGCACCAAAACTTGGGATTTTACGCACCGAAACTTGGGATTTCACCCGCCAAAATTTGGGATTTTACGCACCAAAACTTGGGATTTTACGTTCATCTCTCATCTGGCCAGCTGGCTATGCACCCGCCGCTTTAGCGAGCCTACTTTTCGACCCTCCGGAGCCACAAATCATCGGAGAAACACAGCGTTTCGCGACTTTCCTACCTTTTCGCGCGCCTGGATCTTCTTTCTCCTGAGACTATCTCCTTTGTGATATTCTTTCTTCTTCTCTTCTCTTCTCTTCTCTGACTTTTCCCATCTCTGCTTTTCATCTGTCCATATTGTCGGAAGTTTGACTTCTAAACTTCCTTCGATACTGTATGCTATAGAATGCTACAAAAGAACAAAAACATTCAATATTTGGGCACCTTCACTCTAAAATACCTCTATCTAAAAAGAATTTCCTGACCCCTTTTTAAAGAGGCGTTTCTGAATGTCTTCGAATTTGGATGAACTTGGATGCCAATTCGGCGTGAACTTGCTGGAAACGCATTTTATAGCAGAACCAGTTCTCATTGTTTTTGTGCATTTTAAAGCCTGAGGCCCTATGCACAAAAACTAGACCGCTCTAAAACTGCTGCACATTATCACATAATGAACTGACACCCCGATGAAATGATGACCATAAGCCACATTGGACATACAATATTTTGACCACCAACCATGTGCGAGATCCATGATGCCCCGACCAGGGTTTTTGTTTTCCAGTTTTTGGATTTCAAATGATGGGTATTGGATGGCAGGTATGGTTCAAGCGTGGTCAAATAATTTGTTCTTTTTTCAGATCCTGAACTGGTTCCCAGCAGCCATCGCTGGTTCGCCCCCCCCCCAACAAAAACCTCATCCCGTAGCCATATTACTCTGGGTCGAAAATCAATCCTGGTTGATTCACTTCGTTTTTTTCCTGTGATAGTGAGAATTCCCATGAATATCCATGAAGTGAATGCCATAATAATGGGAGTATATACTCCGCTGTGGGATTGCTACTGTACACTCAATTATTGTTATATATAAATATATGTATATAAATATAAATATAAAAATATCTATCTATCCTCATTTTTTCATCCCATGATTCCTCCAGGCACGTGCCGGAGACGGAGGCCTTTCGCAGGCTGGATCTGGGTACACAAAATTGGGATGTCACCGCCAGAAAGGCTGAATTGACCAGGAAAGAATAGGAAAACTCTGGGAAAATTAGGAAAAAAAAATCGTGGTGTACCTTCCGGTGATCGAGATGGTAGGAAAATCAGCATGTGGAATTTCCAGCCATGTTCCCTGCAAAACAGCCCTATTTGATGTAAGGCTCATCCGAATTCGACCAATTTAGTGCACTGGAGATGACATCAGTTGTTGGAATCGCGCATGGATTGTGAAAGATGTGTCTATCGCTGAAATTTATTGACCAATTGCCCTGAGAATTGGAGGTTTTGCGAAACACGACCTGCCTCTAGTCATTCTCTCAAATCTTGGGCACCCATCAGCCCACGATAACTGGGTGATTTTTCAGGAATATGGTAAACGCCCAAAAAATGTAAACAATCCCCAAATTGACAACAAATGGGTGCTATAGATAGTCCAACAAAAAGGATATATATATATTTTGCATTGGGCTTACCACATTACCATCAAAAACATCCAAAGGGTTTTAGAGGTGATTCGATAGGTTTTCATTGGGTTGTATTACCCCAACAAAGATAGAACAGTAAATCACCACCATTTTAGTATAGGATTTCACTTATATATATATATATCTTTTATGCATTTTGTTATGCACAAAAATATAATCCAGTTGCTAGTTGCCACGTTAGAGGAAGGTGGAGATGGAGACTGCTCGGACCCAGCCTGTGGACTCCGATGAGCCGGGTGAAGGGAGCTCTCTATCACCGCAGCAGAAGGAGGCGAGTGCCGCTGGTAATGCAGATGCTTCGAAACCAAGGGGGATAGTTACCAACAGCAATAGGGATTTACTATAGAAATCTGGGAAATGATCGGCTTTACGGTTTACCAACGGTAGTTTAGGATAAACTCATCTTTTGCAATGAATGGGGATATATCAACCTAGCCAGTTTTTTGTTCTTCCTGCAGAGCATCCAAGATTTGGCATGAAAGTTTGGGTCCAGTCATCGGTGAAAGGGAGTGGTTTCCGGGCTTTGAACTACAATTCGTTGTGAATTTTACTGGACTTGACTGGGACTTAACTGGGAATAACCTATTGGAAATCCAGCCCGGCACTGAAACCATATGTGCTACAACCCTGTCGAACGAGTAGCTGCTTATACACAGATTTGCTCGATTTCCAGCTGCAATGTGATCTGAAGGGAGTTTGGTGATACTTCTTGGGCACAAAGAATGGACCTTGGCATTTGTCCTGTCAGTTTGGGTGTGTGTAAAACAACGTTTATGTACAACTTGTAGGGGCATGTAGGGGCCCCTCCCTATACGTTTGGCCAATGACGTGGTTGTTATTGTGCCTACAAAGCGAGTCGGCCAGTCGTCCAGCTATAAACCACAAGCCGAATTGGACCAGCTTTCGTCCGTTTGTCACATTCTGATGGTGCAAGATGGGTTGACTTTTGCCTCCAGGAATCATACACAAGATAAGTATAACATATTATTTTACCATCCTTTAGCAAAGTTGGTTATGCTCCAAGAGAGACCTGGTTTTTGTGGGGATGCTACCATGCGCCAGGAAGCTCAGGTCTCTCCGACCAAGGTCAAGGAGCCCAGGCGGGCTGAAAATCCCATTGGAATTGGGGGGTACCCGGCCTGGTAAACATACCAAAAAACTATGAAACATGGCCATTTTTCATAGGAAAACCATGGGAAAACCATGGGAAAATTGTGACTTATATGAAAAGATCCACCATTTTCAATGGGTAAATCCACTATTTCGACTGGGCAATTTTCAATGTCGCAAACTGTTTGTTTACCAGAGGGTACCCACTATTTTTAGACAAACCCCGGGAAGGAACTGGCAGGAGTTTTTTGCCCCTTCACTTTGATATTTGATTGGATTGTACTTAACAACCAAACTGTAAGGTGGGATGGTCATCCAACACCCCAGTTCCAGAAAGTCTTGGTAGCCTCAGTGCATGGCGTTCAAGCAATGAACAACGATTTGGTAGACCCCCCTAGACAGTTATATACTTTTGACTGCCAAACAATGGAGGTTTCCTAAAATAGGGGTCCTCCCAAATAATGAATCTTTTTTAAATAGGATTTTCCATGAAATAAACCATCCAGCTATTGGGTTTTTCCCGGGTATCCCCTCATCTTGTCTGGATGAGGTCTCAGTGGCTGTGGCTGTCGCATCTGCGGCTGCTGCTGCTGGTGGTGATGGTCTTGTCTGCGGCCACTTGGCAGCGATTTTCCATGGGAAAATCCATGGGAATGTCCACTATCAATGGAGGCTTTGGTGGGAGAATTCTATCTATCACCCTATGAACATATGGAGGTTTCCGAAGTTATGGGGGTACCCCGATCCAAGTCATGGATGACCATGAATTCGTATAGGTTAACCCATGGTTTTCCGACTGGGGATCCACCACCTTGAGAAGCCACTCTATAGTCCTGTTGGTGAGAACAGCAACGCTTAAAAACTGGGGCAGCGCCTGGTAGGGGATCTGACTTCAAGTCAAGGCCATATACTGTAGATGAAGTTGATCCTGCTTCAAGGTACCATTTTTTGATATTTTTTGTAGGTTACATCTGACGTTGATCCCTTCAGGTGCTTTCGGGGCTCAGGTGAATAGCTGCAACTACTTGCCCATCTACTTGGTCTCGTGGTTGGAGGAGGCGCAGCCGCGCAGCGCTGAGTCTTGCCTTTGTTGGTTTCAAGGGGGCATATCATTACAGTCATTATATGGAATTTGCCCAGATATTTTTTTGAGGTTTGGGGAGTTGTATAGCCCTGAGTTGTAGCTTATAATTAATACATAACTCAAAAAATGTGGGATACCAAATCTTCCATGGCCATTCGAATGGAACATATTGATGATAATTCCCATGGGGAATTTAGTTCTTTTTGGAAGTCCAATTGACATTAATGAGCCGTTCCCAGATGCGTTGGTCTGAAATGACTGGGTACCCGATTCCATCCAGCGGTTTGGAACCTAATCTTCCCATTAAGCTGGCACAGTCAAATGTCGTATTGTTGGTTAATTATACACCCATATATATATATATATTATAATATCTATGTATATCTATCTATATATGTCTATGTAATATATATATATATATTATATATATATATGTATCTCAATTAAGGTTGGTTGGTTCACCAAAATTTTCCACTAGATCTATGACTCATGGTGCTGTGCCAGGAAGCCCAGTTAAGTCCTTCGCTGGCGCTCAGCATCGCCGCAGTGGCCAAGGCGTAGGGCGAACTGGACTGGGCTTATGGTTGATACATATATGTATCTGTATATATATATGTAATACAATATCTATCTATGTAATACAATATATATATAATATTATATCATATGTATGTATACAGTTTTATACAGATTCTGGGGCACCATTCAATGTTGAACAATGGCGATTCACGGTGAACATGGCGATTGAATGGTGAACAGTTCGGTGATTTAATGGTGACACATGGCGATTTCATGTTCAGCAACAAAAGTGGCGGTTATTATGGGGATTGAATGGACAAAATGTGTGTAGCTGTTGGTTGAACTAAACTCCAATAGCTGTTGGGTACCGGGTTTACCCCCAATAGCTGTTGGACATGTTTGGGATGATCATGGTGCAAATTATTCCAAAACTACGGGCCGCAATCGTTCGCTTCGGAGCGCTTTCGGAGCGCTTCGGCTATGGTTCGTTACGAATTGAGTTTCCCATATCAATGGGAATTTCAGGATCCTAAAATGGAGGTACGTTAGTACCATATGTTTGGCCATATTTTGTGGGGATGTTCCTGAAATGGCCGTTGACCATATGGGGATTTTCATATGTTACCATCCCCCCTTTGCAGCAAACAGTTGGGCCCTGAGAATCACCCATTTTTCGCTTGGAATCAATTGTCTTTCAACCCCCAAGTCTTGTCTTTTGGTGGACTTCTTAGTTTGGGAAGATAGTCAGTGGTTTTTTCCAAAATGGCAACTTTCGTTGATTCATTTGGGTGTGTCTGAAAATAGTGTACCCCTAAACCCAATGGTTAATGATCATTATCCCTATTAAATGGCTATAATTGGGAATATACCCTATTTTCAGACAAACCCATTTGATTCGATGTCCGACCGCCTGCTGAGTGCATCTTCCGCTTGGCAGCTCGGCATGGTCAGCTCCAGGTGGTGCAGATGCTCATGACTTTCCCCGTCTCCTTCGCCACGGACCGCTACGGCGCCACCAAGGTCTGGGAGCGTTGTAGGATGGATGAGACAATGGAAGGCTTGAAGTTGGTGACGATTTTAATGTGGTTTAATGATGTTTAATGAGGATGAGAATAATTCAATGGGGATCTTACTGGGATAATCATGGATGATTGTCATAGAAGCTCCACTAGAGTTCAAGAATGTTGTAAATCCCAATGCTATGAGCCATCCCCAAGTCAGCTCCATTTTTATGGGTACTATGTTTACCATCCACAAATGGTAGGTTTATGATTGGGTTTGCCACATTCAAGATGTTTTCTCCTTTTCTTAAACATCTATTTTGACTGAGTAGATGATTGAAAATTAGTCGAACTATTTAGCCATCATGTTCCCATGAAATCCCGATGAAATCCCCATGATATTCAAATTATTGTATCACTATTGTATTCCCATTCTATCCCAACTACAGTATATCCTCATTATATCCCGACGATCTCCCCATATTTTCCCGCTAGATCCCAAATTTCCCATGATTTGTCCGATGATTTTCCCATGATTTTCCCAATATTTTTTCCGATGATTTTCCCATAAATTTCCCAATATTTTTCCCATGATTTTCCCCATGTTTGGGGCCATTTTGTGATGCCACATATCTACGAAAGGTCCCTGCCAGCAGGTAATGCTGTTAGGCGGCGGTTCCGTTAGCCTCGTGGCAGTTCCCTGTCTTTGGCACCTTGGTGTTTCGCCAGCGAGGGGAAAGCCATGGATCTGGATGGGGACATCTATATGTTTTGGGGATTACCATCTGGTTATGACTAACATAGCCATGGTTAAGCCATGGCCCATAGAAATAGATGGTTTACCCATTAAACATGGTGATTTTCCATGGCTATGTTAAATAACCATATGGTAATGGAAATTAATAGCTAATGATGAATTTAATGATGAATTGGGTGGATCTGTCCAGAATTTTAAAGGTCTAAATATATTTGGGGATCTAATCATGATGAAATTAACCAACCATTATGGGATGCAATGAGGATAGAATGAGATATACAACCAACTTAAGAATCTGGATGACCTCAATTCCTGACTTCAATGGAATGAGGGTTTATATATGGGGAATCATCCCCAAATGGCCCTATGATAACAGCTAGTTTCAGGTGAGTGAATTGTTGATATTATTCAGGCTAGGCAGATGGGGGGTCAACAGCCTGCTGGGAAAATCATAGAACTAAAGGATTCATTTTCCATTGCTAGCTAAGTTGACGCACATAGGGTTGCTTAATGTTTGGGTTTACGGGGGATATTGTGAACGAGTTGATAGGGTTTATAAGCCGACAAACATCACAGGGGAGCCTCACCTTGTACTCAATATCTACTGGATATCTAATGATGTTATGATGTTACCCCTGGTCATGGATGTTGCACTTTGCCATGGAAACCACAAACCATTTGAAGATTTACCTACTAAACATAATAAACAATGGCGATTTTATGTAGCTTTCTTAAATTACCGGATACTGGATGGATGGATGGTACTTATGTTGATGTTGGTTTTACTAAATGGTGGGATGTCATGATAACATCATCGACTTTCGTGGAGTTTCTCGCCATTTTTCTAACCAAGAAATAGCAACATCACGCTGGCAACGGTGCAGGGTTTTTGCCACCTGAGCCTCACCACTGGTTACATAATTTCATGAAAGCCAGTTCGTTGAACTCTAAGCCTCCCCCAAAAAAATCAGCGACAACCAATCAGCCAAGCAGTCATTAATCCCAAAAGTCCCATATCAGATATATAATGATCCCATATAAGATAATCAAAAATTATTCCATATAAGATGATCTAATTATCCCATATAAAGATAATCTAATCATCCCATATAAGATATATAATTATCCCATATAGGATAATCAAAACATATCCCATCTAAGATATATCGTCTAATCAGATGAGTCCTGATTGTGGATGAATGACTGGTGACCCAACGTCCTGGAGGCTGGTGATGGCCAGCTCCGGAGGCGAATGCTGGTCCGGCTTTCTGGTCCTGGGGCTGCTGCTACCGGTGCCTTGAAATTTTGGTGGGACATCTCATACGTAGGTGACGTAGATATGGAAGATCAATCGTTTCGGAGCATGATCTAGATTGATGATGATTGATGATGATTTATGGTCGTTTCTCCATACAATCTAGAAGTGTAGAAAAAAGATCTGACGCATTTTTTTTTGGTTCCACCTGAATTTTCATATCTTTTCATCACTTTTCCATGCTTTCTGGATGAGATCCCGAGGTCTTGATTTCGATCTATCTGATCCCTTCCAATCTCTTCATGACCTGCGTCTTCCCGACTCCCATGCGTGCGCGCGGATGCGGCCTGTGCGACTCGGATGACTTGAAAAGGGGAGGCGGAAATGGATCTGCCAGGAATCCCTACTTACTCTTGTGGTAAAAAGAACGATATCTATCTATCTATATATTTATATAAATATATATATATAAATAAATATATAAATATATGCCCCAGTCTAGTAGTTTCACTTGGAAGTGGAACATCGCCCATCAAGTTCCATGATTCTCCAGTTCCAATCAAACGCTGTTCTTCTTTCCAGCCCTGGTTACCAGCCGCGGCAGGTTTAGGGCTGGCGTCCATCGCGGGTGGCCTGACACCCATGATCGTTGCTCGCCGGCGGTTTCCAAAGAAGAATTTAGCATTGCAGGTCATTCGAGACAATACCCAACTGCAGATTTTGTTCTTTTTACATCTTTTTACAGGGTTTTATCACATGAATTATTCGGCAGGATCTGCTCAAAGGATTGTAAAATCAAACTGTTGGGTCCCTATTGAACTATTGCTAGGGGTTAAAACTTACTTGGGAACATTATGAATGTCGGTTGTGGTTTGAGAAGATCTTTGAGCAAACTTTCCAGCCGATTTTTTCATGTTCGACGCGTGTTTTTTTTTGATTCATCTCATCCGGCTGTGGTAGCAATTGTTTGGGGAGATCTCCTGCATTCTCCTGCTATCCGCCAGTTTTTCCCGAGGCATCGCAATTGGCACAGCAGGGTGAGCTATGGCCAGGCCCTGCTAGCGGGATTGGAACGGGTCAGGTGATTGGTGACATCCAGAAATCCCATATTTCCTGGTGGATTTCAGTAGTAACTTTGCTGGATCTGATGTCCAGAGTTCGTGGCATGAGAAGTTGGGCGGATGTCATACTTGTCTAAAATCCTAGCTGGTATGTTAGATTGCTGGAGAGTACTCACAATGTCAATTTTGGTTAAATCGTCCGCCAAAGCATCCCAGCAATCATTGCCATCCACAACTATCATCAACTGCACAACTACCCAAACAACCAGGATAGGTGATGCTATGCGGCTATACAATCATCCATCCCTATAATTCCAATGAACCATCAAGTCTCAACATATCTGAACTCATCATAGCACAACTACCTTCGTTCCGTTCCCCGCACCCCATCCCGTCGTCTCAACGGTGCCGTAAAGAAAAGGCGCCTTCATCTCCCTGCTGTCGCTGCCCTCGTTGGCGGTGCTGCTGTGGAGTCGTCGGGAGAAGGCGAAGAGTCGCCTGGCGGTCTATCAACGGCCCTGGCTCTTCTAAGGCGGGACCGGGCATGGAGGATGGGGAGATGGGGATGGTGATTTTGGAAGGTTCAGAAATATATGGCTGGATTTTTTTGGGGGATACTCTTGGATTTGGTTTGGGAGAAGTTCACGGGGTGCTCTTTTTTCTGAATTGGGACGGCAGTCTGGAAGTTGGGGTTTCTGGAAGCGTAGTTGGCTCCTCTTGATGGGCATACAGCCTGCTTCCGAGGTGCTGGTGCTGGTGCTGATGCCGATTTGAAACCAGAGTGGCATCAGTTGCTCCAGAAAATCATTTTCAGATATTTTCAGTGCAGCAATAATTCCATGGAAATGCCTGAAACGCTGGGTGCCGCGAAACTTTACAGCTTGAAAAGTCTTGCTGGTGATTGAAGACTTGAAGACATCCGGGTCAAAATTCATCAACATTCATCAACTAATCAACCATTCTATGGTTCGAGTGAGAGACACCCAACTTGATGCTAGCAGATCGTAGCGAGGAAAATCGAAGTTTGCCGCTGCTTAAAACAGCGCACCTGTACAGTCTTCCGCTGTGTTTGGCCATGGGTGATGTTGAGGGGGTGGCACTGTTTGGTTTGTCTCATTAAATGAGGGTACCTAACATTCCAGTGGTCTATCATCATTTTTCAAATTCAACTTGCCATTTAGGGCCTCCCATTTCTAAATAAACTGATTTGAAACCAGACGGGTTTTGTTGCCGATCCAAAAAGGTGACGGGTTAAGTGGCATTCCACAAGCATGGTGCTCCATTCAGGGTATCAGTTGGTGAGGCTTGAGGAAGTGCGGAAAAACATCTGATCTTTGAATGTTGACATCCCAATCAACACCAAGTGCTTAGGTGGGTTTCGAGTCTTAAATTCAACAAAGATGAAGACCAGCACTTTTTAAACAGAAAGGCTTGTTGCCAGCCCTGAAATCACCAATTATTTGTATATATTCATTGTTTTTTGTCAATATATTACATAATCTGACGTAATATTTTTTTGTTGTCCATACACGAGCCTTTTCTATCAGAAGTAGAGAAAGGCTTGTTGTGGGCACGCAAAATGCATTTCTTTTCCCCAAAACGATACATTGTCTAAAACAATATCGGCCTTTTGCTGTCCATACACAAACGTTATTTCTAGTGGAAATAGAGCTTGGAGTGGTTAACCACCCAAAATAAAACCCCAAAAGCCAAAAAAACAAAAAAGAAGAAAAAACAAACAATGTTTTGGGGACTACTTGGATCTAGGCATGTTCAGACTAGTCTGGACAACATGTTTTTTTTTTGGTTTCTTTTTCTTTTTGTTTCTTTGTTTTTTTGGTTTCTTTGGTTTTTTGATTCCTTAGGATTAAACCAGATTAATAGAGATGAATCCAAACCAAATCTGATTCATCTTGCCTCCAAGGCATTCTTGTCAAATCATTATTCACAAAATCTTGTATGCGAAACTTGCACAGTATGCCTTGGGGACGTGCAGTTTTCCTTTTCAGGTGTGAAGCCTTTGGGGATGTAAAAATATGTTTTTTGTGAAGGAAACCGTTCCTTCAACTAAAATGTGTTCCTGTCCCAGTAGAGCGCAGCTGGAGTTCTTTGAAAGGAGTGTTACATATTTACAAAGAAATGGTGTGATTGAAAGGATTGTTACATCTTTTCAAATCATGGTGTAACTTTCAAAAGGGGCAGCTGATTCAATTTTCTTTTTGGTGAGTAAAACCTTTCCTTCAAACAAATGGTGTTCCTTCCAAACAGATGGCAGCTGGGTTTCTTTGAAAGGAGTGTTGCATTTTTTTTAAAGAAACCGTGCTACTTTCAAACATAAAGGCCAGCAAAGCTTCTTTGAGAGGAATGCTATATCTCTAAAGGACACGCTGCATATTTTGACACAATATTGTTTCTGTTGTTTAAACTAACTGTTTAAACACGATTGCAACTTTAAGGTAAGTATTCAATCTTTGAAGAAAACAGCATCTGCCTGAACGAATGTTACCATGATAAAGGAAGAAGACAGGAATACTGCACTTTAGAACACAATACACTTCGTAGATAACACATATTTATTTTTTTAAAAAAGAATCCAACCTTCCTAAAAGAGTTCTTCCTGAAAAAAACATGTGACTAGCTCAAAAGCAACCACCAACTTGTAAATGACAACAATTTTTTTGGTTGAAGTGGATGCTGTGTAAGGAAAACTGCACTTCTTTGAAGAACCTCATTTCTTCAAAGCATTGTTTGCTGGGAATGTAGCATAGGCATACAGCTTAATAGACTATATACAGATAATTCCTCTTTGGGCAATGAAAGCAAGTGAAAAAAACTGCATTGCCTGATATTGTTTGCAATTTTGCCTTTAGCTCAATGTGTTGCAGTTTCTTTGGTCAACTGCTGCGCTGCGCAGCTCAAACTTATTCAAGATTGTTATGTACTTCCACACCTGTTTGAAAACACCAGGGAGTTTCCTTAATTGTCTAACTAAAATAGGCCTTGTAGACGAATTAAGGTTGTGTTTCAAAGAAGACTAATTTTTTTCAAAAGAATGTGATATTGTACCACAATCATATGGAAACATGACAGTAGTGTATCCCTAGGTTTCAAAACAATATATTTCCATTTTTCATGACCTTTGCCACACAAACATATATAAGGATAACTATTGTGTATGAGAAGTACATGACCTGAACTTATCCACTGCAATTTTGCATTCTATGTTACATACATATTCTGTTGCACCTAATGCTTCAAAGTGGAGATATATCCTGTTTTCTCTTCTAGGGTGGAATGATTCTTCTTGGAATTTTCCACATTTTGAACCATTGTTGACTACCATTGTTCCAAAGGAGTGCATTTTACAGCTGATTATGATCATTTCCCAAAGGATACTTTCGAACATTGGGAAAGCTACTACTTTCCAGCGCTAGCAACGGGGGCCCCTCCCATTATTTAATGGTGAAAAATAGATCACTATTGATCATCTATAGATGAATTGATGAATGATTATATTTCATCTTTTTCAAAGAGAAACCTTTAAAACCGGGAACCTCACCCTTTGGCTGACACGATCTCTTCGCAGCTAGTTTTGCGTCTCAAAGCAGAGCACGGCGCCTGTCATGTGGCAGGACAAAAAAATCCCCTGTTTGGATGGTCAATTGGCTAAATCATGGCTTTCTGAGTCTGCTCACATGTCCCTGAAATCAAGGAACCGAACCGCGCGTAGTACCGTAGTGTTCTATCTGTTCTGGAAAGTGGGGTCCCAGAGGCTCCACTATTTGAGTCATCGTCATCATCATGTGGTGAACTGGCTAATCTCTGAGTCGCTGATCAGATGGAGAAATATGTGCTGGCAAGGCATCATTTTATACGATAAATATCGATAAATACATCTTTATACCCGATTCGTGATATACAAATTTGCTGATCACCCTTTGCTAGACATGAATTTAGATAAGTAAATCAGTAAATCATCTTAAAATTGCGGATTTTCTATTGCCAGCCATATTTAATTGTCACAGGGTCCAAGCGATCCAAGTTCTTGTTTGCGTAGTGATACATATCATCATATCATCTTAATTTCATCATATATCCCCACGTTTTTCTATCATATTCCCAACATTTCAAAGCCTTCTTGCCATAGATTAGGGCTGAAATCATGTGTAGATGATTTTACCACCTTGCCAATGGCCATAGATTGGGGGTAAATCCGACTCGTTGTCGCAATTTCCATCCTCATTTCTTAAGCATATATCATCATATATCCTATTACATCACTAATATAGTTGTACTTCTCATTGTACATTTTTTTTTGTCATACAAAAACAGCTTTTGTTTGGATATACAAACTAACAGCATGCGTTGATATATTTCCACATGATATGATATGATGTAAAATGATATGATATGATGCTGTATGATATGATATGATTCCTGGCTTGTCACATCAATTTTTGCTGGGGACGTGTCTTCCTGAGCTTGCTTGGGGGTCTTCACGTGTTGCGCTGGCAGCACGGCACTGAGCCAGTGGCAGCACATCCTATGGGGGAACAGCCTCACATATGATGTGATATGACTTGATATGGCATGATACGATACGCCCAAGCGAACCATGATTTGAAATGGGTATGATTAAGGTATATGCTATTTATATATTCCGTTATCTCCTGGGATCAATTTTTCTACAACGATTAACAACGATTTTCGAAAAACCATCCCATCAAAAATCCCGTTTGTATATAGCTATAGCTATAGTTATAACTACCCTCTGGTTATGACTAACATAGCCATGGTATAGATGGCCCATTTATAGATGGTTTACCTATTAAAAATTGTGTTTTTTCCATGGCTATGTTAGTCATAACCAGATGGTAGCTGTCACTACAACTACCTCCGGACCTTGCTGAAACAACTATGGGGGTTGGAACAGTCAGGGTCTACTTCCTTTGGGGCAACGGGTAACTGTAAAAAAAAAACCAAATTATATGACTATACATAACTGTCCCATTTAATTGATTATCCATGGGTATCAGTTACAACTTATAATTGGAAAATGCCTTGTATCAGAACTAATAATCATTCAATACAATCTTATCATTGTTGTATATTATCACTTTGACTAGTTCTCCCACTCATTCTTATTGGCTATGACGACCACGAGATTTACTAGAATTCCGATCATTTTACAAACTAAATTATGAACTAATATACAATGTGTTAGTCATAAGTATTATTCGATATTATTCAGCTAACACTATATTATTATTAGTTATTGGTTAAACTATTGAATATTTTCAACTCTTTATTATTTGTTTTAACTCTTACCCAATTCTTGTAATGGTCGGCCAAACAATTTTTCATTGTAAGAGTCTCTTTTTTTAAACAAAAATACTATGAACGCAACAATTGATAACCATTGTTTTGAGTCTCATTCCTACTGTATTATTCGACGGTTCCAATTTTAGTTACGATGACGATAACTATTATTGGTTATTACGACTATTGCTACTGTTGCTATTACCATTATATCATGCCGTTATAACTTTATCTAACTATATGGGTATGAGTCAAAAGCCTGGTACCCCAGTGAACCCGAAAAATTAGGTGGTAAATGGATGTTCATTCCCCTAAAATACTGTGGATGGTTGCGAAATCACCAGTTGATAGGTGGTAAGAATCCCATTATTTATAGGGTTTCAAGATTTATCCCATTATGTGTCCCATTATTTATCCCATTATCTATCCCATTATTTATTACGTTATTTATAGGGTTTCAAGCGTCCCAGCACTATAACTTTAAATGATTACCGTTAACCCATCATTAACCATGATTACCCTGTGGTAAACTAACATAACCATGGAAAATCACCATGCTATTAATAAGTAAATCAACAATTTCTATGGCAGCTTTCAATAGCAAACTGTTAGTTTACCAGAGGCTATATCATATTAAATCCCATTCAACCACCAGACAATCCCATTAAATCCCAATAAAATCACCATTAAATCCCATTAAATCCCATAAAATCACTATTAAATCCCATAAAATCACTATTAAATCCCATTATTATGGTAGTTTTGACATATCTCCAGATAGCGCCAGGCACAGCATGGCCTGGGACCTCCTTTGCTCCGCTCCCCCGGCGGCGGTGTCTCGCAGGCGGGGAAACCCGCCGGAGATGCGAAACGTGTGGCGAACTCCAGGATATGACCGATATTATATACTGTGTATACATATATATATATATGTATGTATATATGTAATTATATATATATATATGTATGTATATATATATATGTATACACATACAGCCATCTGTATATATATAAATATATATATACACAATATTATATATAATATGATGTGTATATGATTGTATATGTGCATATGCATATATCTACACATGAAATGCATATATAAGCAAATGGTGATAAACAGAGAAGTAAATAGTAAATGGACAAATAAATAAGAGGCATGGGCATGGATGATACAAACACACTCACACACGTACATACGCTTGGAATAATGGGCCCATTTCCCGGTTTGTACCAGATGTTTGTTGGGTTCACTGCCGTCAATTGGCTCGTCCAAGCATTCGCTGGTGGAGAAACTCCTTGGCGACCAGCCTCTGCACATCAGGATTTGTCTGAAACAAGGAGAACACCTAGTCCATCCAGTGATCAATCATAAGTTTCCTCATGAAAATTGTGATTCTCCTGATAAATGGATGTACATGGATCATCGATCATTTATAGATGATTTTCCCATTCAAAGCTCCACTTCTGGGGGATTTCCCGGCCACAGACTGCCGCGGATGCCTTCCTGCACATCAGAGAGCTGATTCGCGAGGCTGTGATGTTGGAGGCTTATGATTCACTCGTTTACCCTCTGGTAATTTGTTACATAGCTATTGAAAATCTCCATGTTTCATGGGTAAATCAACGAACTCAATTGCCATTTTCAATAGCTATGTTGGTTTACCAGAGGGTAAAGGTTGGATCCTTTGCCAAATTTGTTTTGTTTCCTATCTCAAATGTTTGATCTTCATTCTTTGGACTGCTGCCAGACGTGAGCTAAAACCACAGTTTCGGCCCCTTGCTGCGACTGCCTGTGTGCCCGCAATGGTATCCACAATCTTGGTTACTATGCCACATCTTTCTTGTTGACACCTCTGTTTTGAACTATTTTTGTAGAACTGTCTTTGCCTGTAGATCTGGATACTTATCTAACTGTAAAAACTCCCGCATATTCTGATGGTTAACATCCCAAAACTTTTGGTAAACATATATAAAAATATGGTTAACTCCTAACTTTGAGTTTTGGTAAATCTTCCCATGTCTAAATATCTGTATATTGTTACTTCGTGTATGTTGGCCAAAACTTGCCTATTTTTACTGCCAAACTGGGGCGCAAACAGCCGCGCCGCACCACAGTCCTCGGGCAAAGCTTCGGAGGATGGAGCGACCGAGGTGTGGAAAATTTTTGATGCAAATCAAGGGGAAACCTCGTCCACAGATTTCAACCAGCTGGGTCAATAGCTATAGGATGCGAAAAAGGAGCTTCATTTTAAGGGAGGACCATCCACAAATACCCGCTCTTTGGTTAGGGGACGAGGTTTCTTTTCCTTTCTCGAATGGAAATTTGTTCCCACAGAGTTTCTGTGACATTTCTAGTTGAGAGACCATGATGTTCGCCAAAGCCCTGCAGTTCCAAATCCGCTGCTAACTTTCCCACATCTTTGTGATTGGTTTTGTTTTTTGAAAGCGATCTAAGTGAGAACGAAACGGGATGATTTCAGTTGAATTGACACACGTTTTTTTTTTTAAAAGTATATATATATATATTATACACAGTATATACGTGTATGTAAAACTAACTTGTCTATTCCCCAACATCTCGCTTGAAACTGCCGCAACGCCTTTTTTTAGTCAGGCGCAGTTGGTGTTGGTGTCACATCCGCATCAGCTACCGTATTTATCCCTGTAACTTGGAGCATGGGAAACTCAGGTGGCCTCCAGACCATCCTAACGAATAGCTATGGAAAATGCCCCGTAGATGATTTACCCTCTGGTTATGACTAACATAGCCATGGAAAATGGCCCATTTATAGATGGTTTACCTATTAAAAATGGTGATTTTCCATGGCTATGTTAAATAACCAGATGGTACCTTTATGATCTCTATGGTGAAGCGTGGTGAAGCGTCCATGATTGGATCACGGTTTATCCCTAGCAAAAAGCTAGGGACATCAAAGTGAAGATCCAGTGTTATTGAAACACGAGATGAGATTCAGCTGATCTATTGCACATGTCGTGGTATGATACTTTGCAGCTGTCTCAATTCCTAGGTGTTCATTGGTTGATTGGGGATTGGATTCCAACATCTCCATGTAGCTGTGACATATGACCCGTTCTACTAGCTTTTTGAGCATCTAGGATCCCAATTCCCAGCCGCTCTCACCCCGGGATCAACATTGGGTACCCTGAAAGTGGTATCGTTACTGCCAAGAATCGCCGGTTTCGACTATGTGAATATCCCACCTGCAATGATCCCCAGTGACTCAGATGGGTTTGTCCACAAATAGGCTACTCCGAAATTTGATGCTTTACTATGTTTTTACCATGTTTTGGTCATATTCATTGAAGTGGCAAACGAAAATGGCATGGCGTGCCCCAATTTCCGGTACCAAACAGAGTTATCTAAGTTATCTATAATCTTGGGTTATTTATCATCATTTATCCATCATTTATCCATCATTTATCCCCTTTATCCCCCCAAAAAATTGTCATTTTCTTGTCATTTAAACCCCTTGATCCACGACCCAGGATGGCGGCTGCCGCCGGTTTTCGCCGCGTCGCTGTGTTGGATCCCAGGCACTAGATTCCAGCACAACAGATCAATGGGTAAATCACTCAAAGAGACCGGAAAATTTGAGGTACCTTAGTACCTCTGGTTGGTGGTTTCAACATTTTTTATTTTCCATAATATATGGGATAATCCTTCCCATTGACTAATATTTTTCAAGATGGTTAAAACCACCAACCAGACCTTTATTCTAGGGGATTTTTGCCGGCCTATCACAAAGATACCCTGGTGCATTAAACGTCTTGGTCAGGATTTTGAGAGTCGCTAGCAAAACCTCATGCGGGTTTGTCCGAAAATCGGGTATACCTCTAAATGACCACTTTAATCGGGAAAATTATGTTTTCAACCATCGCATTTAGGGTTTTTCCTATTATATATTTTCCTTTAAGTTTTATCAAACAAATCGGACAGACCTCATGTGCAAAACGCGGGAAGTACTGGTGGTTTGTCGCAGCCTCACTTGGTCCCTCGTTCGTCAGGCTCTTCGGGGGCATTCCTTGGAACACGTTCGGCGCGGCAGCTCAACCTGAACATATCATGGTGAAGTCAAACTGCCTGGTGAGAAATGGGACGACCAAACTGCTTTTAGTCATGGCCTATATCTTTCTATTTCTCATCCCGCATGATTTGATTACACACACACACACTCTCTTTCTCTCTCTCTCTGTCTCTCTCTCTCCCTTTCTGTATTATCTAATATAACTTACGACAATGCCATCAGTTTTGAGACAACTTTCCCATGTTCACCCAGTTTTGAGGTCAAATCATAGGCCACCAGCTGAGGCTGGAAAGCCATCATCCCACATTCTGTCCCACCAGCTCTCGTTTTCATAAATGTTCATCCCATGTTCCATTTTCATTCATATACAGCCAATTATATACTGATATACTGGTTGGTGGTTTGGAACATGAATTTTATGACTTTCCATATATATTGGGAATAATAGTAACCCCAACTGACTAACTCATATTTTTGAAGATGGTTATTGCACCACCAACCAGAATTCTTGGTGAAATCATATCAACTCCCCATATTGTTGGTGAAATCCACCACAAAGTGGGAGTCACTTCAAAAACAACAACACATTTTCATAAAATTTCTGGATCTTAAATATATCATATGATTAATATCAGTTATAAATTATAGCATACATATTTCAACCATATTATACAAATGACATTGTTTCTTCAATTTCCCAATTGCTGGATCTTAAATCCCAATTTCTCCAGTGAACTGCGCCTTGCCTCGTTTTTTTTCAGGCTGCAGCGACCTGGGTTACAGCCTCACTACGGATGCGGGGAAAGCTTTGGCGCAGGAGGTTACCATCGGGATGGATGACTAAACACTGGTAAATAACAGATATATCATCCAGATATATAGGTTATATATATATATAATAGATATACTGATAAACACTGGTAAATAAGGGTTAATCTGGTATTTACACTGGATGATTATATGGATTCCTATATGATAATGGATATATATATATGATATATGATGATATATGGATAAATCTGGCAAATAACATGGATCTATAATGGATAGCTAAATCTATGATGAGATAGATGAGAGCATGGATCATCGGGATCACCAACTCATCATAAATGGGGAGTTCACCAACATTTACCAAGCAGAAGGAGATATCAAGCAATATGTCACTGGTTCATGTTTTTTTTTTTTCAGGGGGCTCAACCAGCAACCAGCTATTTGAGCAAATTACGTACATACTACTGTATGGCAACTTGCGAAAAATGCAGTAAGTCGTGTTAGATCCTACTGAAACATGGGCAAATTTGACGTTTCTGCATCTCTTTGGGTGTTACTGTGGACTATAGATGTATAGTTGATATCATCAGTATCTTTTCTGGATGTTAATGATATTGCTGTTGAATCTCAGTTAAGCCGTTCGACAGGCACTGCTTGGTGGTGACATTTCCTGCCATTTCCACCTTGGGATGATGAACATAGACACACACACACATTTATACGTATATGTAAGATATTTAATATGTATATATAATTTAATATGTATACAATAATATATATATATATATTATATGTATTATATATGTATTATATATGTATTATCTATGTATTATCTATGTATTATATATGTATTATATATGTATGATATATGTATGATATATGTATGATATATGTATGATATATAATATGTATAATAAGTACAATACGTATATTATGTATAATATGTATATTATGTATAATATGTATAATATGTATAATATGTATAATATGTATAATATCTATAATAGTAAGTTCTTAGAACAGTTTGTGGGAGAGGGGTGAGCAAATCAGGCGCCTCGCCGCTCTTGGAGGCTCAAGCTCTATGAGCTGTGCTAAGTGCCACCAGGCGGCACCAGAATCTGGTGACACTTGGTGTGCTGCCTGCAGCGCGTGGGAGGCGCTGGGCTCTGAGCTCTCCTCTCCCTGGCATAACCGGGCGTTGCGGCGCCTGGCTTCTGACCAGGTTGAGGGGTTGGTCAGGTCGGTCCGGGCGCTGAGAAACGTCTCTAGCAGCCTGCGCAGCGCCGAGTCCGCTCGAGCAGCTGAGAGAGGCCGATCTGAGAGGCCAAGGAGCCCAGCACCTCGGGTGGCTTTACCGCCGCCTCCACCTCCTCCTGGAAAGGAGACCGTCAAGGAGCAGCCCGAGAGCAGCAGCGCCTACGAGACGGCCAGTGAGGAGCCAGAGGAGAAGCCTGCGGCGGCCACCGCTGCAAAGAGCAAGGCTAGCAAGCCAGAAAAGGAAGAGGCAGAACCGGCAAGGGAAGAGAGTCAGAGGAAGTCACCCCTTAGGCCCCGCAGTCCACAGGGACCGCCTCCTGGGGATTCAAGGCGCAGTCCTGAGGAGCCTCGAGAAGGAGAAAAGAAAAAGAAGAAGAAGAAGAGAAAGGATCCAGACCGCACGAGACGCGGAAATCGTGCAGGGAGAAATCACCAGAGACTTTACAGAGCACTGGACAACCCAGACCAGCCGTTGCACAGGAAACGTCCGGCTTCCTACTGGGATTCACACCACTCGCAGGGCTACACGCCCTACGACAGAAGAGATAGAAGATGAGGAAGGTAGGGCACCCCGATGGCGCGGAGTTCTCCCTCGAGGACCACGCAGCCTGGGAGTCCTTGACAGTTTTGAGAGGGCAGATCGTGGAGGTCGACTTGAACTCGGCGGGCGAGGAATTCCCTGCCGATCTATGGGGAGGCTTCCTGGTAACAAGAATCGAGCTGGGTTTAGAAGGCGACATGGTCTTGCACGTCAAGAGCTTGGGTTGCGACGACCCAGAAATCACCCGGGGGTTGTCGACGAGCTTCAACAGACGTGCAGGCTGCCTCCATCTCTGTCACAGCGATCCTTGCGAGGTGGACGGCGACTTCACGCTCCACATTTCCCGACTCAGGGTTTTCTCCCCAGAGGGTTTTGCCAGGGACTATATGACAGCAGCTGTGAAGAAGCAGATGAAGAAGTGGTTAGATCAGATGGACGAGGAGACCAACCCTCCATCCTTTGGTTTGGACATCACTATCCCCGCAGGAGACGAGTCGCCTTGGGAGAAAGTGGAACCTATGAAGCCTTCGGCAAAGGCTCATCCACCCAAGGCCCCAGGAGAAGACATGGAAAGGGTGTCAGAGGAGAAAAGAAAGGAGTTGAGAAGGCGCTTGAACGATGCAAAAGCCAAGATGAGTCAGGAGGGTGTTGGGGGCGCTGGGTCAGGTCCCGCGCTGGCCCGGGGACATCAGGAGATCGTGCATCTCCACTATATTCACCCTCACCTCTGGAAGAGGAGGAGACGTTGAACGAACGGCGGAAGAGCGCGCTGAGGGAAACACCTCGTCGCAGCGCCAAGGAAAACCCAGGGCCAGAGGAGTTGGGCCTTGGAGAGGAGAGCCAGAGGGAGAAGAAGGTGAAAAAGAAGAGAAAAACAAAGGATGCAGACCGCGAGGAACCTCTGGCTATAAAAGACACTTCTACCGGAAGCTTGCAGGTTCAGCTTCTGAGTCAAGCGGCGAAAGCTGCTCAAGAAAAAGCAGGAAAGCTGAAAGGAGAGAAGGAGAAGGCAAGGAAGAAGGACCCAGGTGCCCTGTTGATGAGGTTACTACAACAGGCTGCCGGTGGGAAGAAGAAAAAGAAAAAGAAGAAAGACAAGAAGGGTCAGAGCTCAAACCCTTACAAGAGCAGCTCACCAGGAGGCAGCCGGAGGAGGAGGAAGAAAAGGAGTGGAGATCCGGACTCCAGCCCGAGCTCCTCGAATGGCAGTGGCCAGACGAGTGGCTCCGACGGGAGCTCCAACGAGGACTTCGAGGGAGCTTCATCCAGCAGCTCGGAAGACCTGAAAATGGAGCCCCCCCTGAGGAAGAGGGCAAGGGAGAAGCCTGGGAGCGTTCTCCAGCTCCTAGTGGAGCATGCGAGGGCTCAGCTGGACCAAAGCTCCAAAGTAGTTGTGGGCAAAGAGGAGAACAAGAACTACACCACGGGGGTGAAGCTGAGCTCTTACTTCTCCATCATCATCAGGCCTCAGGTGGGGACTATCAATGGTCAGGTTCGCGAGATGCACCTGCTGAGCTCCTGCATGGATGCCTTGAGGGAAGGAGCCCTCGATCATGTGGGAGACCTGCTGGCGGCGCGCTTCATCAGCCTCCATCAGTCGCTGCTGGATGGCAACTGGACGGCTGCGCGTCAGCTGGAACTCCTGCCACTGGAGGAGATATCAGCTGCAGGGCCCCAGCTGGTTCTGCAGGCAAGGAAGCAGGCCAAGCTCGCGGCCAAGGTCTCCCAGCCCGACTTGTGGCATGTCCCAGGCGCCGGCAAGGGCCGTGGCAGCCGGGGAAAAGGGTCAGGTTGGCCCGATTGGCAAGGCGAGCCAAAGGGCAAAACAAAGAAAGGAGGAAAAGGCAAGGGCAAGGCCAAGTCCTGGTGGGGACAAAACGTCGATGGGAACGAGCCGGACCCCAACAAGAAGAAGGAGAAGCCAAGCGACAAATGAGAAGGACTGAAAATCAGGGAAAAGAAGAGCGCTTGGGGAGTTTTGAGCCTCTGGGCACTTCAGCTTTTGGCTGCGCTGGTATAAGGGACTTTAAGTCTTCCATACCGTGCTGCACGTCCTATCGAGCGTTGGGATGCGTGCTAGCTTGGTGGTTGATCCATGGCGCAGTTGCTGATGATTTGATTTTCCGTGCGCCGCAGTGGATGGAGACTTGGAAAGGTTTTTCAGCCGCTGCAAACCTGAGCGCTGCCCGTGGGCGGAACTCAGTTTTTCCTTTCAGGGAAGGTGATCTCAACACCTTCACAACTTGTTTCAAAGAATTCAGCTTGGAGGAAGTTGCCTCGCCCGAAGTGGTGAGCACTTGGAGCGCTTCTGCATGGTTGTTCAATGTGGTGTCAGCCTTGAACAAGTTGGCTGGTTACAAGGGGGCACCTTATCCTGGGCGCTGGACTCAGTCCGAGCAGGCCGCGGCAGAGAGCATGAGGACGGCCATAGAGCGACGCTGCGCAAGAGACGTGGTGTCAAACCCTCTCACCGAGAGTGACTGGTGAAAAGAGCTGAGCGGTCGTCAAGTGGGGTACAATGGAGAGGAGATCTCAACTTGTCAGCAACTTTCATGGGAACAGGTCATCCCCAGTTTACCTCCTGAAGAACATGGTGGTTCCATCGAAACTTTGCACTGGGTTTCCCCTAGGACTCGTGAGTTCTTGTTGAATCCCTCACTTCTTTTGAAAAGCCCCGATGATGTCAAGTTACCCAAACTTCCCGGCAAGATCCATGTTAAACCTGAAGACAAGATGGCCATTGCACATGAACTGGTACGGCGAAACATTTGCTCATGGGTTCCCTTAGAGCTGGTTTACAAGGTGGGTTCACTACGGATACTCAACGGGCTGTTTGGGGTCAAGAAGGCTACCCTGTTGAAGTCTGGGGAGTCAGTTTTGAGGCTGATCATGAACCTCACGGGTAGTAATGCCACCCAACACCAACTGGAAGGGGGCGCTTCAAATCTTCCCTCTATTACATCCTGGCAGAGTTTGGTGCTGGAACAGGGGCAGTCTTTGGAGATGTTTCAAAGTGACATGTCCTCAGCTTTTTATCTTTTCAAGATTCCGCCTTGTTGGCATCGACACCTTGCCTTCAATGTGATCGCCTCAGAAGAGGAGCTCATGGGGCACGGGCGCCGGCAGTTTGCCTTGTGCTGCTCGGTGTTGCCAATGGGCTGGTTGAACAGCGTTTCAATCATGCAAGAGGTGTCGGAGAACATCTTGCTTCAAGCTCGGCTGAATCCCTACAATCAGGTGGCCAGGAGCAATCCTTTGCCCAGATGGTTCACAGAGATACTGGAGACGGCAGAGGAGGCAGACAGATGTTGGTGGCATGTCTATCTTGACAACTTCTGTGCGTGTGAAAGGATTGAAGCGGACTCACCAGCGCTGGCTGGCTCCCTGTGCCATGAGGCTGCGGAGGATGCCTGGCGGCTGGCGGGTGTCATCTCGTCAGAGAAGAAGAGAGTCTCGGCTGCCAGCTACATCCAGGAGCTTGGCGCTGAAGTAGATGGAGAGGCTGGTGCGCTTGGGGTATCCACCCAGAAGCTGCATAAGCTGGGATTATCCACTCTTTGGACGCTTGTTGCGCAAGGGCTGGACAAGAAGCAGGCCCAAATCCTTGCTGGCAGGTGGATTTTTGTGCTTCAATTCAGAAGGCCAGCCATGGGGTTTCTGCAGGAAGTTTGGAAGGTGACCAGCGGAGGAAGCCAAACCCCCCGCCTAACAAGGGAAAAGGCAAAAGGAGAGTTTTTGGGGCTTCTGCTCTGTTCACCCCTGCTCCACTGCAATTTGGGAGCTTCGATCGCCAAGCAGGTCGTGTGCACTGACGCTTCAGAGAAGGCTGGAGCAGTAGGGTTTGCGGAGCATCTGACCAGTGAAGGTGAGGACTTCGTCAGGGCCACTGCAAAGCTGCAGAGACCAGGAGACGGCCAAACGATCCCAGTTCTTCTCTTGTCCCTTTTTAACGGGATAGGAGGAGCCTTCCGTGCGTACGACGTGCTGTCGCTGGTCCCGGCCGGGCGGATAGCCGTCGAATTGGATGAGGGAGCCAACCGTGTTTGCTCTAGGCGCTGGCCTGGCACTCTCTTCGTGAAGGACATAAGGCTGGTGGACCGAGCCATGGTGCAGACATGGAGCAGGAAATTCCTTGGAATCACTGAGGTTCACCTGTGGGCAGGATTCCCTTGCACCGACTTGTCGAGGGTAAAGGCTGGCCGGCTCAATTTGGAAGGGCCTTGTTCCTCGCTGTTCTACGAGGTCCCGAGGATTGAGGCCTTGTGCAAGGAGGAGTTTGGCCCGTCAGTTACAGTCAAGCATGTCTACGAAAATGTGGCTTCGATGGATAAGGAGGCATGCGCAGAGATCTCTTGGGAGCTTGGTGAGAAGCCTTACCTGCTCAACCCCGAGCACGCTGTGCCGATGAAACGGCCTCGACTTGCGTGGACGACGGAAAAAGTTGAAGATTGCATGCCGGGGATCACAGTGACCTGGAAGCCACAATGGAATGAAGTGGAAGCCCATGCAGAGTATCCTTCCACCGACCAATGGATGAGACCGGGGTTTGAATGGAAGGGTGAAGAGTATGGAAAAACTTTTCCTACATGCATGAAAAGTATACCAAGGAAGTTTCCACCTCCAAAACCAGCAGGGATTCACAAATGCAGTCCTCAGTGTTTGCAGCGGTGGAAGGAGGACTCCTACAGATATCCCCCATACCAGTACTCTTGGGAATATATCCTCACCAACGATGTATCTTGGCGTTTGCTTGACCCGGAGGAAAAGGAGCTTCTACTGGGGTATGGTTTCAATCACACCATTTTGGCCTGGTCCACATCTCATGCAAAACGTGACCCCCAAGGTTTTCTGGATGCAAGGCACTCTTACCTGGGCGATTCATTCTCCATCTTTTCTTTTGTCATTTTGGCTGCGGCTTGTTGCAAACAATGGATCCCCTGGGCACCGTACCAACACTGGGCAGCAAGAATGGGGGTAGCTCCGGGGTTTCGAATGCATGTGCGGTCATTGGCTCCTTTGGGTAGGAAACTCAACTATGGCTCTTCAAAAGGGACCCCATCTGAAAACCTACCATCTGTGGAAAACCTCAACCGACTGTTGCTTCGTCGTACAAACCATACAGGGTCTGACGTGAGAATGATAACAGGTGAGGTTATGGCACCCAAGAATTTCCCGCGGCAGTCCGTGGCTTCAGCTTGGTGGAAATGGCAGCATGGGTACGCACAGAGATGGAAACATAGCAGCCATATAAATGTACTGGAGCTTGAAACCATTCTTTGGGGGTTGAAGTTTCTCATCCAACGGTTCAAAGTTTCAGACTGCAGGGTGGTTCAACTCAGTGATTCCTATGTGTCCATCAGCGTGGTCAGTAAGGGACGAAGCAGCAGTCTTCAGTTGCAGCGGATCAACAAGGTCCTCTCAGCATATCTCTTGGCCTTTGGGCTACAGCTCATCATGGCGCATGTTGAGTCGGGTGATAATCCGACAGATGAGAAGTCGCGCCAGTGATGGTGGTGCACATCCTCGCTGGGAGAACATCCCGTGCTGAGAGGGCACGCCGTCGGGCCCGCATTGTGCTGGATGATGCCGCGCTCAGTGAAAAGACCCAGCGCCGCTATTACTTAGCGTTGCGCAAGCTGCTCCCATACATGGAGGCATGTCCAAATAAAGCTGAGCTGGATAATTGGATGTGTCGTTGGGTGCGAAAGATGTGGCGCTCTGGCGAGCCTCTCCTAACAGTCGGAGACGGCTTATCAGCCTTGCACTTCCATCAGCCGTGGACGCGCCGGATCATCCCACATTCGTGGAAGCTTTTCAATGTGTGGCGGCGCATTGAGATTCCCAGCCGTGCGCCTCCACTCACCTTGCGCTTGGTGAGAAGCCTGGCAGCATATGAGTTGAGTTGCGGGAACCTAGAAATGTGCTGCATTTTGCTTCTCTCGTTTCACTGTTTGCCTCGGACAGGCGAGGCCCTCAACCTCACCACTGCAGATTTCATCTTAGGGCCTACAAGTGGCTTGGTTTCTTTGAAGGAGACGAAAAGTGGAAAGCGAAATCAGGCAAATGAGGTCGTCAGCATCACTGATGTGGCGGTTTTGGACTCAATCAGGGCACTTTTGGACTTTCGTAAGTCGGCCAACTTGCAGGCCTTGCCATTGTGGTCCAGTTCAGGCACTAAATTTCGACAGCGTTTCCGGAAGCTCTGCAAGTACTTTGCGCTTGATGAATTCAATTTTCGCCCCTACTCGCTTCGGCGGGGAGGAGCAACTCATGTTTTTCAGGTCACACAGAGCATGGAGGCTGCGCTGCTTTGCGGACGCTGGGAATCTTCAAAAGTGGCCCGCATTTACATCAGTGATGGCCTCTCGTTCCTACCTTCCCTGAAGATGTCCGACAAGACGTTGGCAATGTTGGAGCGACATTTTCTTTTTGATCAGCAGATGGGTTAAACCATCCGCGCAACTTTCAGTTGGGAAGCGTGGAATGACCTCCAAGCTGAACTTTTTCGTGCTTGGTTTTGACGCTTGTTTTTGCAACCTCGTCCATGAGGTAGAACTTTTCCTTCCGTCCATGAAAGGTGGTGGGTTGCTGAAAAATTTTTCCCCGTCCATGGGGATTGAGGCAAGGATAGCCTCTTGAGTGAATTCAGGCGAGACAATGGTCTCGAAACAAAGCCTTCTTGCAGGCGGCTGAAAAAGGGCGATCCGCTTGACCACAAGTAAGTTCTTAGAACAGTTTGTGGGAGAGGGGTGAGCAAATCAGGCGCCTCGCCGCTCTTGGAGGCTCAAGCTCTCCCTCCCTACAACCACCCTTTGGAATGACCTCCAAGCTGAACTTTTTCGTGCTTGGTTTTGACGCTTGTTTTTGCAACCTCGTCCATGAGGTAGAACTTTTCCTTCCGTCCATGAAAGGTGGTGGGTTGCTGAAAAATTTTTCCCCGTCCATGGGGATTGAGGCAAGGATAGCCTCTTGAGTGAATTCAGGCGAGACAATGGTCTCGAAACAAAGCCTTCTTGCAGGCGGCTGAAAAAGGGCGATCCGCTTGACCACAATCTATAATATCTATAATATCTATAATATCTATAATATCTATAATATCTATAATATCTATAATATCTATAATATCTATAATATCTATAATATCTATAATATCTATAATATCTATATCTACATCTACATCTATATCTATCTCTATATCTATCTCTATCTCTATATCTATCTCTATCTCTATCTCTATCTCTATCTCTATCTCTATCTATCTATCTATCTATCTATCTTTCTTATCTATCTTTCTTATCTATCTTTCTTATCTATCCTATCTATCCTATCTATCCTATCTATCCTATCTATTCTATCTATTCTATCTATCTATCTGTCTGTCTGTCTGTCTATCTATCTGTCTGTCTGTCTATCTATCTATCTATCTATCACTCACATGTAGGCGCCAAACCCCACGTTCGACCATAACCCACAAGATCTCTCCTCTACTATCTAAATCAAACATGATCTACACCCTCCAAACACGCTACTCTCTGGTGACACAAGTAAGAAATGTAGTGTGCTGCTTTCAAACAATCCTGATACCCGGCTGAGACATCCATAAGTTTAACAGGTACGTTTTCTACAAGGGGAATCTGATCGTCATAAGGGATCAAATCCCCCAACCCCCTCCGAACAAATATGTTGAATCGTTTATCAACTTCCACTTCTCTTCATAAGGGATGGTTTATTAACTTCCGCTTCTCTTCATTCATAAGGGATCAAACCCCTTCACCCCCTCTGAGCAAATATGTTGAATGGTTTATTAAATTCCACTTTTCTTCATAAGGGATCAAATTCCTCACCCCCTCTGAAAAAGTATGTTGAATGGTTTATCCACTTCCACTTCTCTTCATAAGGGATCAAACCCCTTCACCCCCTCTGAACAAATATGTTGAATGGTTTATTAACTTCCACTTCTCTTCATAAGGGATCAAACTAACCCCTTCACCCCCTCTGAACAAATACAGTATGTTGAATGGTCTATTAAATTCCACTTTTCTTCACGAGGGATCAAAGCCCTTCACCCCCTCTGTACAAATATGTTGAACGGTTTATTAACTTCCACTTCTCTTCATAAGGGATCACACCCCTTCACCCCCTCTGAGCATATATGTTGACTTGTTATTAACTTCCACTTCTCTTCATAAGGGATCAAACCCCTTCACCCCCTCTGAGCATATATGTTGAATGGTTTATTCACTTCCACTTATCTTCATGAGGGATCAAACCCCCATCCCCTCTGAACTTCAGCTGGCTTCCGGCACGGTCAAACGTAGGGACGTAGGGTTTGCAGCGCACATGTATGATATATATATATAACATATGTATACCACGTAATCTATGTATATATAATATGTATAATATATATAATGTATGATATATAATATGTATAATATGTATAATTATAATACGTATAAAATGTGTAATATAATATAATATAATATAATTTAATATAATATAATATAATATATATATATATTATATGTACTATATATATATGTATATATGTATATATTATATGTACAATATATATATATGTATATATTATATGTACAATATATATATATATATTTATTATGTACAATATATATATATATATATTTATGTATATATTATATGTACAATATATATATAATGTATATCATTCAATTTATGTAATATAAAATATGTATAACATAAAATATGTATTATATACATATATATATGTATAATATGTACAATATATATATATATATATGTAATATATGTATATATATAATTATGTACACACATATATATATATACGTATTATGTACAGTATATGATTTGTCACATGTATAACACATATTCTGTATAGTATATAATCTGTATTATATAAAATATGTATAATATGTCAAACATGTAAAACATTTAATATGTGTGTATATATATATACACACTATTCATATAATATATATATATATATATAGTAGATTTATAAATTCTCCCAAATATCTTAATCTTAGAAAATCGATATATCCGATGTAAGTTGACTCATTAGATTGTTGGGATGGCTCAACTTGGTTGTCACCTCAGCGCAGGCTACGCGGCTGGAGTCCTACGTCACCCAGCCAGCTGCGTCATGTTTTTGGGCACCGGGCAGAGCTTTGGAAGGGTGCAACGTTTCGGAAGATGTGCCATCAACGTCGGTGTAGAAATCCATAGCTTGGATGTTTGGTGGTTGGGAACGACCGAACATCACATGGATTAGCATGCTGTGATTGGAATTGGTGTGGAGGAATACGAGTCATAAAGATACCGCAATGGTGCTTGAACTATATACATATCGGAAACACGGAGCCACATGCAGTCAGAGGCAAACAGGGAATGCTAATTAGAATTTTGGGACCATAACATAGGCATGAAATTCATAGTATTGTAAAGGTCCACATCTTGAACGGAATTTCCAGGAGCTCGACCTTGTCCGACCTTTGTTCGCTCATGGCAGGTTGAGAGAAACCGAACCAGACAGGCCGTTTTTGTGGCCGGGGCATGTCCCTTTCAAATAGGCTTCCCACATGGCCGCCAGGGCCGCTACCCTTTTGTAAACGTACAAAAAACGATGGAAAATGGCAATTTTTGATAGGAAAACCATGGGAAAACCATGGGAAAATGGTGATTTATATGGAAAGATCCACCACTTTTTTAGGTAAATCAACTATTTCTATGGTCATTTTTAATAGCAACGTGTTAGTTTACCAGAGGGTATAGGGAACATTCATGAACATGAGGCTCAACCAGCAGGTTTCTCCATCTTGGCGGCTCGCTGCCCGCAGGTTGCAGCGCTTGCAACCGCTCTTGGAGAAAGTCAATGCGACCTTGGCCTTCCACCGTTGTGTGGTGCAGGTGAGGATGGGATGCTGGGATGACATCCATGTTCAGGGGAGTCTGAGAATTCAGGCCCACAAGTTCTGTGAAACAGGGGTCAGTCACCAAAATCTTGGGATCTCCCTTGCAAAATCCATCGCTTTGTCAGTCACCAAAATCTTGGGATCTCCCTTGCAAAATCCATAGCTTTGTCAGTCACCAAAATCTTGGGATCTCCCTTGCAAAATCCATAGCTTTGTCAGTCACCAAAATCTTGGGATCTCCCTTGCAAAATCCATAGCTTTGCCAGTCACCAAAATCTTGGGATCTCCCTTGCAACCAATAGCTTTGTCGTCACCAAAATCTTGGATCTCCCTTGCAAAATCATAGCTTGTCAGTCACCAAAATTTGGGATCTCCCTTGCAAAATCCATAGCTTTGTCAGTCACCAAAATCTTGGATCTCCCTTGCAAAATCCATAGCTTTGTCAGTCACCAAAATCTTGGGCAAAATCCAAGCTTTGTAGTCACCAAAATTTGGGATCCCCTTGCAAAATCCATAGCTTTGTCAGTCACCAAAATCTTGGGATCTCCCTGCAAAATCCATAGCTTTGGTCAGTCACCAAAATCTCTCCCTTGCGGCTGTCAGTCACCAAAATTTGGGATTCCCTTGCAAATCCATAGCTTTGTCAGTCACAAATTTTGGGATCTCATTGCAAATAGCTTTGTCAGTCACCAAAATCTTGGGATCTCCCTTGCAAAATCCATAGCTTTGTCAGTCACCAAAATCTTGGGATCTCCCTTGCAAAATCCATAGCTTTGTCAGTCACCAAAATCTTGGGATCTCCCTTGCAAAATCCATAGCTTTGTCAGTCACCAAAATCTTGGGATCTCCCTTGCAAAATCCATAGCTTTGTCAGTCACCCAAAATCTTGGGATCTCCCTTGCAAAATCCATAGCTTTGTCAGTCACCAAAATCTTGGGATCTCCCTTGCAAAATCCATCGCTTTGTCAGTCACCAAAATCTTGGGATCTCCCTTGCAAAATCCATAGCTTTGTCAGTCACCAAAATCTTGGGATCTCCCTTGCAAAATCCATAGCAGTCACCAAAATCTTGGGATCTCCCTTGCAAAATCCATAGCTTTGTCAGTCACCAAAATCTTGGGATCTCCCTTGCAAAATCCATAGCTTTGTCAGTCACCAAAATCTTGGGATCTCCCTTCTCCCTTGCAAAATCCATAGCTTTGTCAGTCACCAAAATCTTGGGATCTCCCTTGCAAAATCCATAGCTTTGTCAGTCACCAAAATCTTGGGATCTCCCTTGCAAAATCCATAGCTTTGTCAGTCACCAAAATCTTGGGATCTCCCTTGCAAAATCCATCGCTTTGTCAGTCACCCAAATCTTGGGATCTCCCTTGCAAAATCCATCGCTTTGTCAGTCACCCAAATCTTGGGACCTCCCTTGCAAAATCAATAACTTTGTCAGTCACCAAAATCTTGGGATCTCCCTTGCAAAATCCATCGCTTTGTCTGTCACCAAAATCTTGGGATCTCCCTTGCAAAATCCATAGGTTTGTCAGTCACCAAAATCTTGGGATCTCCCTTGCAAAATCCATAGCTTTGTCAGTCACCAAAATCTTGGGATCTCCCTTGCAAAATCCATAGCTTTGTCAGTCACCAAAATCTTGGGATCTCCCTTGCAAAATCCATAGCTTTGTCAGTCATCAAAATCTTGGGATCTCCCTTGCAAAATCCATAGCTTTGTCAGTCACCAAAATCTTGGGATCTCCCTTGCAAAATCCATAGCTTTGTCAGTCACCAAAATCTTGGGATCTCCCTTGCAAAATCCATCGCTTTGTCAGTCACCAAAATCTTGGGATCTCCCTTGCAAAATCCATAGGTTTGCCAGTCAACAAAATCTTGGGATCTCCCTTGCAAAATCCATAGCTTTGCCAGTCACCAAAATCTTGGGATCCCCCTTGCAAAATCCATAGCTCTGTCAGTCACCAAAATCTTGGGATCTCCCTTGCAAAATCCATAGGTTTGCCAGTCACCAAAATCTTGGGATCTCCCTTGCAAAATCCATAGCTTTGTCAGTCACCAAAATCTTGGGATCTCCCTTGCAAAATCCATAGCTTTGCCAGTCACCAAAATCTTGGGATCTTGCAAAATCCATAGCTTTGTCAGTCACCAAAATCTTGGGATCTCCCTTGCAAAATCCATAGCTTTGTCAGTCGCCAAAATCTTGGGATCTCCCTTGCAAAATCCATAGCTTTGTCAGTCACCAAAATCTTGGGATCTCCCTTGCAAAATCCATAGCTTTGTCAGTCACCAAAATCTTGGGATCTCCCTTGCAAAATCCATAGCTTTGTCAGTCACCAAAATCTTGGGATCTCCCTTGCAAAATCCATCGCTTTGTCAGTCACCCAAATCTTGGGATCTCCCTTGCAAAATCCATCGCTTTGTCAGTCACCCAAATCTTGGGACCTCCCTTGCAAAATCAATAACTTTGTCAGTCACCAAAATCTTGGGATCTCCCTTGCAAAATCCATCGCTTTGTCTGTCACCAAAATCTTGGGATCTCCCTTGCAAAATCCATAGGTTTGTCAGTCACCAAAATCTTGGGATCTCCCTTGCAAAATCCATAGCTTTGTCAGTCACCCAAATCTTGGGATCTCCCTTGCAAAATCCATAGCTTTGCCAGTCACCAAAATCTTGGGATCTCCCTTGCAAAATCCATAGCTTTGTCAGTCACCAAAATCTTGGGATCTCCCTTGCAAAATCCATAGCTTTGCCAGTCACCAAAATCTTGGGATCTCCCTTGCAAAATCCATCGCTTTGTCAGTCACCCAAATCTTGGAATCCCCCTTGCAAAATCCATAGCTCTGTCAGTCACCAAAATCTTGGGATCTCCCTTGCAAAATCCATAGCTTTGTCAGTCACCAAAATCTTGGGATCTCCCTTGCAAAATCCATAGCTTTGCCAGTCACCAAAATCTTGGGATCTCCCTTGCAAAATCCATAGCTTTGCCAGTCACCAAAATCTTGGGATCTCCCTTGCAAAATCCATAGCTTTGTCAGTCACCAAAATCTTGGGATCCCCCTTGCAAAATCCATAGCTTTGCCAGTCACCAAAATCTTGGGATCTCCCTTGCAAAATCCATAGCTTTGTCAGTCACCAAAATCTGGGATCCCCCTTGCAAAATCCATAGCTTTGCATGCATCTAGTAATGACAGTATTCCAACCCTGAGTATAGTGACACTGGTCACCACCGAACACCTTGAGTCGTCGCATGGCAACGAGCAGAAGACAGTCCAAGGGCCCGTTTCAACTGCCAATGTGCATTGCCTATTGAGACTTCGATATGTGGTAAGTCCATCATTCAGTATATGCTGGTCTCTTAAAATTAGGGATCCCCAAGTCACCATGAGTTTTTATACTAAAATGATCATCCATGACTTGGATGATTTGGGGTACCCCCATTTGAAAGAACCCCCAAATTATGTATATTTATAAATCAGAGTGAGTCCAGAGCGCGTCCTGGTAAACGTCGCAGCTGCGCAAAGCAGGTTAAGGACACACATTGCAGCCACGCTGTTAGATATGATTTCAGATGTACCCACTGGTAAACTAACATAATTAACTATGAAACATCACCATCTTTAATAGGTAAATCAACTATGGGCCATTTTCAATAGCTATGTTAAATTACCAGAGGGTACTATGACACTTCCACCTGGATATGTCTCCGGCGCCGGGGATGATCCTAGGCAGACGGCAGTGCCACGCGCTGCGCGGGGCGCTAGGCTGATGGATTCGTGGTTTTGGATCGATTTTTCAAGGTCTGTCGAGCCGATTTAGACCCACCACTGCCCAGCACATCATCAATAAAACACCTGGTTAATGTAAAATAATTACCATAGTTGCATCAACATATCATAGACTTTTGGTGTTTCTTTCCCTTGGTGGTGACTTTTGGATGTCTTGGGCATGCGGCCGCATTTTTTTTTTGAGAATAGACCTACCTTCAGATTTCGCTCCACTGAAATTGAATTTTGGAAGATGATTTTCCCTCTGGATCTTTGCATCCTTTGGGTTCGTCAAGTTCATGCAGTTTATATCAGTTTATTGTTGTGGTTTCAGACCCCGTTCTTCCTTCGCTGGAAAGGTGCCATGGAACATCCAGCCCGGAATGTGCCCTGTCGCCATGGGGAACAAAAGCAATGGCGGCGAAGGGGGGTTCAAAGGTGGGACATCAATGGGAGCAGCAAATGGGAGCAGTGCTACGAAGTGCTACTGAGCGGTGCCGTGTGGTGCCTTCAGCTATGAAGCTCCGAGGCCATCTTTTGGTTGTCTTCCAAACTTCGAGTGGGGGATTTTCCTAACATGTCAGTCACTGTCTCCCATCACACCCTAACAGATTGAGATTGCCAATTGTGCTCCGATGGATTTTGGAAATTTGGCACCAGTTGATATCAAGAACCTCCTTGAATCACCACCTTACAGACTTGGTTACAGGGAAATATTATATAGACAAAATGATGGGTTTCTACCATCGCAATAGAGTTTTTGAGGTCTTTTGTTGTGGTTTTCCCTTTCTTTTTTTGTTTGAATACAAACAGCTCCATTCAGCCAGGGACACCATGCTGCAGAGTGAAACACTGCCGCGCCATCGACGGCCCCTTAGGCCCGCGCCAAAGGTTTCCTGCGCGGAGTTTTTTTCGTCAAAACCATTGGTTTCCACCGTCAAATAGTTGGTTTTCCTGGATGGTTATTCCCCATATGATCCATAACCTCCATTATTAATATGGGTAATAACCATCCAGGAAAACCAACTATTATTATTATTACTATGGGAAATCATCGTTTGTTTTGACCGTCAGACCCATCCTCACCTCTTCTTAGAATCAGCAGACTCGTCTGCTGAGTCCTGTGTGGAAATTTTTCAGCAGCAAACCATGGGTTTTTTAGCCTTCACATCAGCTCGGAGCTGTAGCCAGCAAAATGCCATGCTTGACTCGTGAAAAAACCCGGGCCAAAATGCGGTTGTGTGTTCTCCATTGTGGACACAGATTCAGAACTAAAACAAGATCTTCCGCATGGCGTTGCTGGGCTTGTCGCGCGAGGAGCTGGAGTGGTTTTGACCTGGATAGAGGGTAACTCCATAACAGAGCAGTTGGAAGAGAGAAACATCACAACGGTTCAACGATTCACAACGCATTGCTATGCTTCCTAGCTTCCGTAACAGTTGCAGTGGTGCTTTTGGGTACTCTGAACAGGTCCATAGTTTCAGTGGCGCCCAGTTTGGATCGCGAACCGTCATGTGTGAAGACCATTTTGCCACCGTGCTGGGCCCGAAAACCATCCTCCACCCCTACTTGGAAGACCATTGGTTGGTCACCAGAGTCAGTTTGCCAATTTGTGTATTTGTTCAAAAATAGATACAGTAATTAGATAATTAGATAGACACGTACACAAAGATATATATATATATGTATATATATACACATGTAGTATATATGTATACGTATGTAAATATTGCAATGAGTGGTGTCGGATTGTATCATCTTGATGAGGAAAGTAGCAACGAAACTATGTCTCCCTCCTTTCTCGAAGCTGTTGGCTCTAAGGGCAACTCACCCCCCTGTCAACCACCATGTGGTTGTCAGGGGGAGTAGACAAACAAAAATGGTACCGGTTCAAGTTCAGGCCGGGGCAGCTGCTGGAGGCAGCTGTTAGAGACGATGAAGGAAGGAGCCAGGGTACCCTCCTGCTGGAGGTGTTGACGCATGAGGCCACTGATCCCAAGGGCCATTGGATCACTGGGCGCTATGTGGTGGCTTCTGATGGTCACATGCGCTGGTGGATGAGCGAAGGTGAAGGCCGAGTCTTGGCCAAACGTGGCTCCTTCCACTTCTGCGAGGAGAACAGCCAGGACTGCCAAGAGACCCGAAAGAGTCGTGGCAAGTGCATGCACCTGGAGAAGTTCAGGGAGATCACGCAGAAGGAGGTCGATGGCAAGGTACCGGGCTGGGCTTTCGAGGGGGCCCCCAAGAAGATCTTTGCGGCCTACTTGAAGCAGGTGACTCTCCCAGAAGAACCGCCGGGAAAGAAGGAAGGGTTACCCTGGCAGAAGCCAGGTGAGGAGTCAGATGCTGAAGAAGGCTCTGAGGAGAGTTCAGTTTCCGTGGCCATGAAGGACCGCCTCAAGAGGGCTCGAGATGAGCTCAAGCGGCTTGAAGAGAGGGCACAACAGAAGAAGCAGAAGAAGAAGCTCAAGAGAGGAAAAGGGACAGCACCTGCCAAGGCCAAGGCAGAGGTTGACAGGGACCGTGGAAGGCGCAGGAGAAAAGACAAGGTGTCTTCATCAGGTACGGGCACGGGGGACTTAGACGCTGAGGAGTCTCCGGATGATCTCTTCGGGGAAGTGGCTCCCGATCGTCCTGAGGTGGCTCTGAGCGCAAGGGCCGTGTGGATCGAGGACCATTTGGTGGTGGAGATCTGGTGAAGTTTCGTGGGCGATCTGACTCTGAGAGTGAGTCTTTTCAGGACGCCCCCGCCGGTCAAAAGGCAAGCAGCCAGCTCAAGCTGGCGAGCTACGCAAAGAAGAAGCCGGGCAGATTGGCCTCCAGGATGCTCCTGAAGATGGTCAAAGAGTCTGCCCACGGATCGGTGGGGGCGGTCGTGAACGATCCAAACCCCACGCCACCGGCAGCCGTCCACTACCTGATGACGGTGCTGACCCCACAACTGGGGAGTCGTCTCAATCTGAGGACGCAACGGGAGCTGAAGACAATTTGCACGGCAGTAGACATGCTGGCACAGAAGCAGCCAGCGCAAGCGGCCGACGTGCTGGCCCAAAGGGTGAAAGCCCTTGTGAAGGCCGGGGAGGGCGGCCACTGGAACTCAGCGCAGTTCTTGGAGCTGCTGAGTCCGGAAGGAAGCAGCCTCCTGGAGAGGGCAGAGGAGGTTTACACCTCACGCGAGTACCTTCTGGACATGAAGATCAAGCTGTTCCTCTTGTACAGTTCCGTATGGCTGACGAGCCTCACTACTCTAGCAACTCAGAGGCGCTCCAGCAAAAGTGCTGAGAGTTCCAGGTGAGACATTGCAATGAGTGGTGTCGGATTGTATCATCTTGATGAGGAAAGTAGCAACGAAACTATGTCTCCCTCCTTTCTCGAAGCTGTTGGCTCCCTCCACCAACCCCGGTCACCACCTCTTTTGCAGGTGTGGTTCATCCATCCCGGGTATGGGGGGTAGTGACTCTTGAGTCATCAGTGATCAGCCTTCCTGAGGGCTTGATACAGGTTCACGCCCACTCTACCAGCCAAAGGCTGTGAGCCAGGTCTTGACCAGCGCTGGTGGGTTTAGCTGTTTCCTCTTGTACAGTTCCGTATGGCTGACGAGCCTCACTACTCTAGCAACTCAGAGGCGCTCCAGCAAAAGTGCTGAGAGTTCCAGGTGAGACGCATATATATATATATATATGTATGTATGTATGTATGTATGTATGTATGTATGTATGTATGTATATCATCATATACTATATCAACTATATCCCACAGTATCGGGGGCCTACAACCACCAGGCTTATTAGTTCCTCAAGAAACTATCCCAGAATTGGGAAACTTGCAGCCAACTAGCCATTTTTTCCCGGTCGACCGGAGTCCTACCCTACCATGACATATTCCCACTTTTTTGGGCCCCCAAATCTTAGAATTCAAGACATTCAACCAGGGTCTCTAACAGGAGGTATTCAATGTACATACATAGATAAATGTATAGATACCCGGTAATTATATAATATAGACAAATATATAGATAAATATATAGATACATATATAGATAAATATATAGATAAATATATAGATAAATATATAGATAAATATAGATAAATACATATATATATATATATACAGTATATTATACACAGATAATAGGTTAGATATCCCCATTTCAGGATGTTTGAACAATGTTATCCCATGTCATTCCCCTTTTTTGATGGCTCACCGTATTTTTTCGTCCGTGAAATCTGGCAGGAACCTCTACGCCCTTCTGCCGTGAGCTTTGAGCTGCGACGGCCCACCAGGCCGCCATGAAGCCAGGTGAGCCTTAAAACATACCACCAGTTGATTGGTAAAATATAGGGGAATCATACTACAACTGCTTTGTTGGGGATTTTTGTAGATAATAAATTATGACCCAAAGTAGGGATAGCTATTTGCCAACCAGTATAATGGGATGGGATAAGGGTATTTTTTTCATGGCTTAGGTGATTTGTTGATGAAGTTGCGGGCGTTCCGCACCGCATCCGTCCTGATTAGTAAACTGGTTGAACCTTGCTGGTTGGCCATATTCAGCACTTGTGGACTCAAATACATTTTGAACTAATTGGCTTACAAACCCGAAACCATGGGATGCTTGGGAAATTCTGGCAGCTCGGCTCACCGCAAATTCTGTCGCAGGTTTCGACCAATTTACCGGCCATCTCAATGCCATGTTTCCAGCATTTTCCCATCATTTTCCCATCATTTTCCCAGCATTTTCCAGCGGCATCGGACCATCTTCCCATCTCTCAACGTCCAACAGGTCCACTTCCCTTGGCGCGGTCCAGCAGCTGGCAGGTACGGAGTGCGGATTTTTTCGCTGGATTTCAAGCATGATTTGAGCAACAAAATTCGCCAACAGGACTAGGATACATGGTGATCTTCATTTGCTGTTGTTTTTTTTCATGAAAACTAGGATCTAACAAAAGTTTTGGGATTTAGACGATTGAAATCGTGCTTGATTTGATATAATATAATGATGTATATATATAAATATATATATATATATACAGTAACTACGTATATATGGTGATTTGATACTTGTAGGGAATAACTAATGTATAATAGGGAATTCACCAACAAGAATAGGGGGATTTGGAGAAAAAACATTCTTAATTAAAATGGCAACTGGTGGTCTTACGCACAACAATGTGAATTTAAACCAAACATAGTGACGAACAATTGACTTATCCAACCAACATGGTGAATTTAAATGATTTAGCAGTATTGAACCATTCAAAAATACGGGGCTTTAACCGGGGATAACTGGGGATAGATGGTGATTTCAGGCATGAATATAAGGGGGTAGAAGATACCAGTCATGGATATAGAATGATATAGAATGGCACGAACAACTAGCAGTATGATATCTGGGTGTTTTGAGGACTTGGGGGAATTGAATGGACCCCCCACGCGTTGATGCCAGTTGAATGGGACATGATTTTCTAAACCGTGGGATGACACGGGGTACCCAAAAAAATCAGAGAAACCCGTCGAACCAAGAAGAATGGAGGTATAAGATATTGATCATGAGCTGGGATGATACCCTCTGGAAAATTCACAGTTGGACCCTGAAAATGACAACTTTTTAGTGGAAACTTATCTTTCAACCCCGATGACTGGCAGGGTCTATGTTAATTTACTGGAGGGTATATAATAGGATATCTGATGGGAAAACTTTCACGAACAAGATGATATTCTTGAGGCCAGGAATGAGGGATGAATCCTACCAATTCCTACCAGACAAAAATCGAAGGTGGAAGCCATATATCACAAGTGCTTCGTCAACATGTTGAGGAAGACCTTATTTCTGTCGTGGGCCCATTTCTTTTCTTGAGATTACCCTCTGGTAAACTAACATAGCAATGGAAAATCACCATTTTTAATGGGAAAATCCACTATAAATGGCCATTTTCAATAGCTATGTTAAATTACCAGAGGGTAATTTCTTGTGGCTCAATATTCCGATCCTTTTGATCTTCTGAATTTCCCAGAGTAAATCTTGATCTCCCCTCTTCGTCGTTGCTTGGTTTTACCCTCTGGTTATGACTATATAACATAGCCATGGTATAGATGGCCCATTTATAGATGGTTTACGTATTAAAAATGGTGATTTTCCATGGCTATGTTAGTCATAACCAGATGGCATCCCTTTAAAAACCACACGATCAAAATGCATCAAAATGCAACATCAGGCAGCTCCAGCCTACAACGAACGTCCCTGGACCATTCGCCCTACCGTCGGTTGGAGGGTGATCTTCATACCCGCGCGCGGAGCAGTGCAGGTGGAGGGGTTGATTGGATGTGGATGGTTTAGGAATCACAATTCATGAGTTTTTCGGTGGATTTGAAGTTCGGAAACTGTTTTGGAGCTGAAGTTCGAAGCATCAAATTGGATGTTCTGGTATCTGGAGATCAGATGGTCCAAGCCCAAGGAGAATTTTAGAGATTCCCAACGGATTTGGTTATCCTCAGGTAGACATCCGCAAAAGGTTCACCAAAGGTTTATAAAGCCCTTAACCACAGAACTGGGAGCCGAAGCCACAGATTTGCCACCGGTTTGTTGGACATTGGGATACTTCCAGTGCTGGCCATGTTCAGATCTGACATTGGCATCGATGTTTTCGATGATCTTGAACCATCAACTGAGATATCCTCCAAAAATAACCACAACCGCAATCATCAATCGATCTATTTCTAAATTTCTACATAAATACACATAAATCCATCCAAATCATCAATCTAAATCCATCATAGTTCCACATAAATCCATCTATGTAATACATCAATCCAAATTTATCTATATTATAAATCCATCGAATTCTACATAAATCCATCTAATCCTTACATAAATCCCTCCACACCAGGTCTCCGAGAGAGTTGCGGAGTGTCCCGGAGCTACGGTTGGCCGGGTTCGCCGGGAATGTGTTGAGATGGGGAACGTTTTTGGCTGCTGCAAAAACACCTGAAACTTCCAGAAAACACCTGAAACTTCCAGAAAAAACATGGAAAACACAACAAAAAACATCAAAAACATCAAAAAACATCAAACAACATCAAAAATGAAGGGCTTTTCCATGATTTTCTCCATGATTTTCCAGGATTTTCCCATGATTTCAGCCCAAATAGATCCGACCCATCTCTGTCGCCGAAACCCACAACTCGCCGTCAGCCAGGTCGTGACGAGATTCCAGCCCGGGAGGTGCCGGGCTGACACGGATTTTTCAACGGTTTTTTCAAAAGTGAAGTGAATCATAATTAGACCATGTTTAAGACATATGCATCTAATCTATAGTATACATACATACATACATACATACATACATACATACATACATACATACATACATACATACATACATACATACATACATACATACATACATACATACATACATACATACATACATACATACATACATACATACATACATATATATATATATACATACATACATACATACATACATACATACATACATACATACATCATGATTTCTAGTTCCGGACATGTTTTTTTGACACGGAATGTATTTTTTTGAAGAGTGAGTGTTAGCGAAATTGGACCCATCTTGAACTACCATCACACTTCCACCACGTAACTCGTCCCTGGATCGCTGGGGAGATCGGCAGGTGGTCACAGAGCCAACCACCTTCGCGGCGTCGCTGCCGCTGTCGCCTGCCGTGCCCTCGAGCCCTTCGGCCTTGCGCGCAGGTGGAACCGTGGTGCCGGCGGAGCTGGAAGCGCGTGCGCAGCGGCGGCAACGGAACTGGGGGACGCTCAGTAGCTCCTGGTTGGTGAAGATCCTTGGAAGAAATGGGGAAATGGAGGGTTTTCACCAAGAATAGGAATATCTTTGGAGATTTTAGGGGAATATCATGAAAAAACACATTACCAAGAGATGGGGAGATGGATGCATATGGATTTGGTAAGCATCAATATCAATGAACAGGGGATTTAATTATCAATCAATGGGGATATAGTAATACAGTAATGGGTATAACCGGCAGCGGAAAATGGCTTGGTCAAGCATCACAAATGGGGGATTTAACCAACCATAATGAGGGCATACCGGGGATATATCATCTGATATAACCACCAAAGGATATGTAGGTATGTTGAATATCTCAACCCCATTTTTTTTGGGGGATGACTCATTGTCTGATGAATGAGTGGCAGTGATTATGTTTTGGACTTTGGACTGGTATTTCTGCACCAAGATTCCAATGATAGTTTGGAACTGCATTGTGATATTTTTTTTGGATGGTCGGAATGTGATTCAAATTTGAAGAATATCTTTTCTTCAAAGAACCGGTGTAAATGCACCACCAGCATGCACTGATATATAGAATTGTCACTTTGCAGGTATGATTGCCGTCAAGTATTCAAAGCAAACTTGGCCATGGGGACCTCTATCTTCAAAAAATACTTATGATGCATATCGGCATTTTTCTTAATTATTTCACCTGGGGTACTGAATATGGGGCCTTTTATAGAGATCTAAAAACAGGGGATCTTCATTTCAGGGCAGACTTAACCCAGATTTTGGGGGATCATCCCAGGAAAAAATGGCGGTTTCTGATGCGATTTTGACTCCATGAAATCACAGACTTCCATACGGTGGAAGAAATCCTGCACCAGTTGATAGGTGGTAAAAATCCATAAACATCCCATTATTTATAGGGTTTCAACCATCCGTTTGGTGATGCAGGATTTCTTCCATCCACAGTATGAAACCTCCATATGAACTCTCACCAGAACCATGAAATTCACCCAGCTCCCAAGGAATTGCTTCAGCGCATGGCGCTCCTTCGTGCAAGCGCAACTTGCAGCAGCTCGAGCGTATCTTGTGGCAAAGAGAACTGATGAAATGGGGAGAAACGCAGTGAGGAAACATGGGAAACTGAAGAGAGATGAGTGGTGATGTGTGTATATAATATATATATACATATATATATATACATTATATAAACATATAATATATATATCTATATATATATATATATATACATATTATGGTGATGGAAGATATTGATTTACTTGAGTAACCGGATAAGTCACTAGTTGGTATGGCTAGAAGCCAGTGAGAAATAGTATAAGTTGGGCAAACCGACATTGGCAATTAGCCTCCGGTAATCAAACATGGCTGGGAAGTCCTCTATAAATGGGCATTTTTTGGGCATTTACCATCTGGTTATTTAACATAGCCATGGAAAATCCCTTATAAATGGAGGTTTTTATGGGAAAATCATCTATAAATGGGCCATTTTCCATGGCTATGTTAAATAACCAGAGGGTATATATTATAAAAGTGGGAAAAACCTATGTAAATGAGGGGATTGTCCAGCACGCCATGAGGGCCTGTTCAAATCTGAGGGGGACACGCATCACCCATGAGCTGCTCAATTCCGAAACAAAGACCAACTATAATATATATGCTTATCATTGCTTATCCATATCATTCCATATGTTTATATACACATACGTATACATAAATGACACACTCTCTATGCAGGTGGTTTCCCATCTAAAAGAAACATCATATTTTCCCCATGGTTTTCTTCCACATTCTTATTACAGAAATTCAATAAACAGAATCATCAATGTTTTTTTTTTCCATTTTTGCATGAAATCCCATTATAAATCCCATTAAATCTCAAGAAATCCACCTGTTTTTGCATTCTTTTTTTCTCAAGAGAAATGGGTTTTCACCACCAGAAACATCCGAGGCAAATGCAGCAGGAGTTGCAGCTGTCAGCGGTGTTGGAGCTACAAACCTCGCTGCTGAAGAAGGTGCGCTTTCCGATGTGGGATCCCCAAGCTCGCTGGATGATTTCATGGAAAATCTTACTAAAATGGATGATACATATTGATAAATGGGGTATCCCTATTTGAGGAAGCCCCAAATCATGGTGCAAACCTCACAAAAGATCTATCGTGGTTGTTTTTCCAGACAAAATAAGGATATAGTAATCATGGATGAATGGGGAGTTGAACATGAAATGGATAACATGACGATTTCACTATCAAACTTCTGAACACGCGCCTTTATATGGGAATAATATTGGGATCTAATCTACAAAGAAGAGGGCTTCAAGGAAATGGTATCCATCCAAACGAACATAAACCCTGCCATGTAAGATGAGGGGATGGTATCGAATCCCCATCTGGTTGGCGGTTTCAACCCCGTTGTTGAGATGAATCAATTTAGATCTTCATTCTTTTTGTTGGTCTGGAAAACAGGATTTTTATGCGAGTTTTAAAGCCTCTTGGTTTTCCCGGTTTTCCCAGTGGAATGCATTCGATGAGTTCTTGATGGGATCAACAATGGATTACCCTCTGGTAAACTAACATAGCTATGGAAAATCACCATTTTTAATGGGAAAACTCACTATAAATGGCCATTTTCAATAGCTATGTTAAATTACCAGAGGGTAACCCAATGGATTAACAATGGACTAACCCATGGATGCTTGGAAGCCCAACACAGGAGCAGGAGATCAAGCGTTTGATCGCGGAGATGCAGCACAACGAGTGGTCGCTTGGCTTCACCGAAAATGGTGCATTTCATGGGATTTAAGTATCGACATATGGACGATTTCGAGGGGGTTTAGCATGAAAGATTGGGGGTTGAATAAAGAAATATAGGGAAAACCACTGGCGAGTTAAGGTTAAGATAGGTTAAGTGTTTAACCAACGAAATATGGGGCTTGATCATCAAGAATACTAGGCATAAGCAGCAAGTTCCGGGAACACAATAGGAATATGATGTGTTTGATGGCAAGGACTAGCCTTGATCAGGGTTCCAATCATGTACCGGAAATAAATTGGCGATGCGGTCCATTGAAGTAATACTTTCAAAAACAACCTGCCCTAAGCACTGGTGAACCCTTTTGTTAAAAGTACAGCATAAGTGACTATCATATATATATATATATATACACATTCATATACTGCATCAATGAACAAGGACTGAAACCAATTGGATTTACTTGCCAGGTATGTGAATAAATCCCATGCTTTCACAACATCCATCGGTTTGGGCTTCGCTTCAGCAGGAATGGCTTGAATCGCTTCACCATGTTGCAGAACACGGCGGCAGATGCCTCCCTGAGATACCGCGTGTGTCTTGGCGCGGAAAGCGTGGCTGCAGGAAGCAGGGAAATTGATGGAAATCGTATGTTTTGGGACTGGCACTGTAGTTGTATGAAAGCCTCTACGATTTTGTATTAGCCTCTACGACCAATTTTTGAAGGGGTGAACATCAATTGGCTGGGAAAACATGTGTTTGATTGTTTTTGTATATATGAATATGTGGGTTTTTGTGGATGGATAGGTAGATAGACAGATAGATTAGATTAGATTTGATTTAGATTGGATCTGATTTAGACTAGAGTTGATTTCTTTAGGTTGGATTAGATTGATTCAAACATCAAACATCCATTCCCCCTGTGCATCTCCAGGTTCAGTGCCTGGCGCCTGGCCAAGCACCGCAGCTTGGCGGAGTTGCTGCAGCGCTTCAAGGCCATGGCGAATCATGAAAAAAGTCATACGATTGAAGATGGTTGAAACCCAATGGCATAGGGTGTACTATTCATTTATAGGGTTTCAACCATCTTCAATTATATGGCTATAATTGGGAATATACCCTATTCAATGGTTAATGATCATACTATAGTATGGTTTAAAGTCCATAAATGAATATGGGTGTGTCTGAAAATGTTGTGTACCCCTAAACCCAATGGTTTTGCTGATCATTATCCCGTTTTTAAATGGCTATTTGTTTGGGAATATACCCTATTTTCAGACAAACCCATATAAATAATGGGATAAACCGAACCACCTATGAGCAGGATTTCTGAAAACGGTAGTACTGGGTTTAATGTCAGTGAAAGTCATTTAAGGAGTCATAGTAATCATTGAATGATAGCCAATGTGCCAATGGGGTTGTAATAACATTATATTTATATAAAGCAACCATCATCAATGATCGTGATAATCATGAAATAACAGCAGTAGGTGTGATAATCATTGGGCTTACGATGGCTTACGTAGTTTTAATGGACTTAAGTATGCCGCGGTTAACGACAGCGGGCTTGATGACGGTGATGATGAGTGTCATTTGCTTTTGGACTTGGCAACTAGTGCGAGAATTGGGTCAATAGCAACCGTAGTTCATGCCATGAACAATGATAATAGTAATACTAGCAACAACAATCGTGAATATAAGAATGATAGGCTTGATTTGGGTGGTTATACCACGTTCTGATCACCCAGGACAATAGGCAAATTGATATTTTTGATATTTTGGGTGATATCAAAACTAGTTGGGTTGATATTCGATCAGAAATATCGGCAATACCTGATACTACCCAATCAACACAAAGATAGTATTCAAGATTAGCTGGATTAGTTATAGTTGTAGTTCTAGTGGTGACAACAATTTGTATTGACTGATTGGGGGTGTCAATGCGGTAAATAACCATTGGGTATTGTTATTGAACATCGGGTTTCTAACAGTCAAACATACTTGAACTAAGTGGATTGGTGATAATCAACTGGTCGGATTTGTAGGAAGCTAAGGAGCAATGGATATCCATATTCTGTAGAAAATGGGGAGCTAAGGAACAGCTAAATTGAGAGCTTTCCAACCAGATGGTGTGTAACAACAATGTTAAGTATGACCAGGTATGACAACGGCACCAATGCCATACTCAACTCTGCTACTGTAATAATTTCTCTTAACTGGGTCAAGTATGCAAATGGGTTGATCCTAAAAATCATTTAGGGTACATGCTATTGTGACGTCAACACGAAAAATCATTACACATGCTTGGGCTTGAATTTGTAAGGAAACCCATCTCTACCATTCGAAAATTTATTTGGGGAATTATTGCACTGCAGCAGCCAGAACTATGATGTTTCGTGGTGGTTTTTTCATGCAGCATGATTTTTAAGATGATCAAATTGGGGATGAGCTAATACCTTCACGTGATCTCAGGTGTTTCATGACCAATAGTTATCAGCTACAGAAGCCACCAGCGTGGGTAAACGTTTACAATCGTTTACAGTTTGCGACCTTGAAAATGGCAATTTATAGTGAGTTTTCCCATTAAAAATGGTGATTTTCCATAGTTATGCTAGTTTACCAGAGGGTAGGGTGTTTGTACTGTAACCCGTGGTTGATGATGCTTCAAACGTTGCCGTCCCTTTTCTCCGCTGTGCGAAGGCAGAGCTTCGGGATGTGCAGACAAGTCTCCGAGTGACAAACGAGGCGGTGGATGGAGAATGGACATCCTCCATATCCTCCGTTTTTTTTCTCCAGAAAGTCATGGCAATGTCATGGCAACCCATCGATTCCCCACGTTTCCAGTGGTTTTCTGAGAATTTTCTACTTGGAGATTGTTTTTGGGGGATGGCAATGGCCCATGGCAGTTCTTCTGACAGGAGCTGGCAGCTTTGCAGCTGGGTTTGATGAAGGCACTGAACGAACTGAGGGGCTGAGGGGGAAAGGGGGATCCCATTTAGGGTTATATGGAGCTGGAAAAGCATGGAAACCGTTCGTTTTTACAGGAAAATCATCTGCGGTGTGTCATTTTCTACCTCCCATGGTCCAAGAATGAGATGTTTTCGCCTAAAATTCTACTAATCATGACACTCCCCATAAAAAATAGGCACCAGATTGGGATGTTCCCCAGTTTCAGACCCAAAATGAGCCATAAAAAGAATACCCCGATCCCTCTCATTAGTTGGTTGATAGCTTTCCCTACTATGGCTTATGATAATAATCCCTCCAAAATTAGCTAGTATAAGTCCCTATCAACAGAGGTATGAGTGGTATTATGATGTATTATGATAGTATAAGTCATATCAATAGTAAAAGTCCCTATATGGTGGTTTCCTGAAATAGGGGTACCCCCAAATCATCCATTTTAGTAGGATTGTCCATGAAATAAACCATCCAGCTATGGGGGTACCCGCATGACTTAGGAACCCCCCATATTGATCCTATCAATGGATTGGTTTCAGGGAAAGTCGAAGCCGGAAACCAAAGATTTTCCCATTCAATATAGGGTTTTCCTGTAAAATTTCCCTTAAACCAATCCATTGACTATATTAATCCATCAACAGAGGTATTCCAACGTGGTTCACAGCTGGTCCAAACGCGGTCCAAACGGACATCGTGAGGCCCGCGAGACACGTCGGCAGGCGCTGGACCAACGGATGCGCGACGAGCAGATGCTGAAGGCCGGGACGCTTGCGTTTTGTGGTGGAATTCCGTTACTAGATGGAAACCAGGAAATTCATCATGGATATGAATATCTAATATAATATATGATATATATAATTATATATATATATAATTATATATATATAATGATATATATATAATGTATAAATAATATACCCGGAGTGCAATTGAAGTGGAGCTGGAGAAAGATTTGGACATGTCATGTTTCACTGCGTTTTACAGTGTTTTGTGGTCTTCATGGAACATGATAACACATTGAACGACTTCAACACGTGGAATGTTGTCCGCGGTTTTAACTAGTTTTAGGTTTTTCAAGTTCTTCACTTCATGTTGTTTTCGTAGAAACCAGTAGAATTGCGTGCTGATAGAATTTCAGTGTCTTCATGGATCCAATAAAAATGTCATAATTCCCCGGAGAACCACGGGCGAAATGCACATTCCCTTTTTTCAACATAGCAACATCTTCAACATCTTCAACGTAAAAACACCTTCAACGTAGCAACATCCTCAACGTAACAACATCTTCAACATAGCAACATCTTGAACATCTTCAACATATAAACATCTTCAACATCTTCAACGTAACAACATCTTCAACATAGCAACATCTTCAACGTAACAACATCTTCGCCGTCACAACATCTTTCCTCTAACGCAGTTCAAAGGACGTTAATACACCCTCCTCCCCACCCCCCTTCTGTATGCCACAACGATGATCAACGTAACAACATCTTTGCTCCAACGCAGTTCAAAGGACATTAATACGTAACCCCCCCACCCCCCTAGCCTGGGAACCTCAAGCCTCTCCCCTATATATATACATATATAATATATATATATATATATGCATGCACAATAATCATGATATGTATATATATACAGTATATATATATATATATACATACAGCATATATATATATACACAGCATTATATATATACATGCAACAATTTTTGTGGCAAACTATTCTTGGAGATGTCCCCTTTTTTTGACACTAATTGCAAGTTGTGGCCGCAGGCACGTGTGCTCGACCTGTGGCATCGAATGGTCTCCGCACGCTACAGGGACGCCGTTTGGGTCAACCATGGCATGGAAATACACAACTGGTTGGTGGTTTCAAACATGGCGATATTATGTTCCATTTCATATATATGGGATGTCATCCCAAACCCATTGACTTTCACTTCATCATTTTTCAAGATGGTTATTGCACCACCAACCAGACAATCTTCACCTGGTGATGGAGAAGATCCCATCGGTTTTGTTGCCACATTGGTGGTCTCAGGATGGACATCCGAAAAACTGGCCTAACTTAGTGTTAGCTCCTGTAAGATGCCAGATCTACTGTCTTGTGGGCGAATTTTGCATTTGAAATGATTCTCCCTCTTCATTGGTTTCATCCCCATTTTGGTGGAAGTAATCTTAGATTTTCCCTAAACAGTACAGCAATACTCAAGATTCCCCAATTTTTTGGCAAACGCAACCTTTTTATGAGCTGAAATCATGATTTTTTGGTTGCTTAAAGTCATTAATCCCATCCCCCTAATATCAAAAACCTCCCTAGACTCCCTGGTTTTAAATTCGATCTGTTCATTTGGGAACCCATATAGGTTGGCATTTAATATTAGGGTGATGGGATTATTTTGGATGGTAAGCCCCCGAAGCTATAAGTTGGTTTACAAAGCCATTACTTGTAGATATCAGATACATCTAGCATACATCCTACTTGGGGGTGCAGTTGAGGTTGCTTAAAATGGATATAACTTAGATATAACCATGGTTACAAAAGCCTACAAGTTGGGATATAAAACGGGGGGCTCCCAGGGCTCCCATTCTTTTTCCAGCAGGAGCTGGCTTTAGAGAACCAAGAGAGCCTGCGGGACATGGAGCATCAGATGCGCCGGAGCGAGCCACTGGGCTGGGCCCACTGGGCCATGGAAAACGGCCAGCAATCCCCGGCAATCCCCTATAAATATCTAGAGATGAGCATAGAAAGTGGGAAAATCATATATTTATATTATATTTATATTATATTTATATTATATTACATATACAAACACACATTCTTTTTGATTGCGATGTTACGGCAGGTTACTTTTATGGAGCTTCTTTGGCTGTGAGGGCTTCCACCAAGCTCCAAGCCGCTCAGGAATGAATGGCGCTTGAAGTACCAGCAGTTGGAAGAGAAACTGAAGAAGTCCAAAGAGGATGGACCCAGTCTGGAGTGAATATATAGTATATGGTATTCATGACTCGGATTCATGATTCATGATGTCAATATATACACTGTCATGTGTGGAGGAAGGCTTGAAACTATGGAGTTCGTCGACACATGTGGCATCCAGCCCAGCGGTTGGGTACCATCTTTGATTCCCTGAAAAAACGGCCAAAGTTCATCAATTGTTGATATCTTGATATCTCTCATCCAATCTTTGATGAGCTATTTGGCAATTTCCATCATTTTCCATCAACTTTCCATTGCATTCTTGGTGTCCTTGAGGCCAAAGTGCAAAAAATCAGAGCCTCTCCGGGCCAGGCGGCACAGGACGGTCAGATGCGGGCCATGATGGCTTTGATGGGCAAGACGGGCAAAGGCGGGGGCGCTTCAGAGCGGGCATTTTGAGGGATTCAACACCTCAAAGATTGGAGGTTTTGAAGAAGATCTTATGGGTTTTTCACATAGTACCTGTTTGAATTTCCATTTCCCACATTTGGTATTTGAATTCCATTCTTGGGATGGGGATTCCAAAATCGCATGGTTGTTTCAATACTAAAATGGTCTAAAATGACTTCCATTGCAAAATGGGTACCCCATTTTTAGATCAGGTCATGGTGTCTAGCTTCGCTTTGGTAGACTCATCTGGCGGGATGGGATTTTCAAGGGGGCCCCTTCATTGACGTTTTTTTGGGGTCACAAACTTATATATATATATATTAATTATATGTATATGTATATACACTCCCCAAACAACAAGTCGATCATCGATCTCCAATCCAAGTCACTTGTCCGCCATTACCAAAAAACATCTAAGCAATACATTGAGAAAGGGACTCCAATGGCTCAGTTATCCACGAGAGGCCTCCTTTCGTGCGCCTTCGTGGAATGGATGCGCTATACCTCGAAGGTGCCGCTTGGAAAACTGGAGCTTGGTCGGTTGGTCATAGCCCCCCTTCTTTAGAAGGGCTGGTAGACAAAGACATCTGGTTTCCTAAAATAGGAGCACCCAATAAAACATCCAAGTTATCAGACCATGACAGGCTATATAATATAGGTTAACCATGGTTAACCCATGGTGACTTAGGGGATCCTCCATTGGCTAATCCCATGTATTCCGGTTTCAGGAGATACCCCCAACGTTGCCAGGAGCGAGCCATCAGATTAGAGGCGGGCACAGCGAGTCATCGGCAGAAGAGAGATGATAAAACAACAACATTTGACACATATACCCTCTGGTAAACTAACATAACTATGGATAACTATGGAAAATCACCATTTTTAATGGGTAAATCCACTATAAATGGCCATTTTCAATAGCTATGTTAGTTTACCAGAGGGTATCCAAAAGACAGACTTTAAAAGTTCATGAAACCTTTATTTTGTGGTTTTAGACTGGACCAAAGAAAACTAAGAACACCTATAGATCCCTTGCTTCGTTTCGCCCATTGAACCTTGGGGTTCCGTAGGAAGAAGGACGTGATCGCGACCGCAAACTGCAGCTGCAACTAGAAGATCTGCGGCGGCGGCAGTTGGAGGCAGTGGTCGCGTGTTTGCTGGTCGTGATTGGAAAAAAGCCGGTGAGATAGTCATGGATGATTACTGTGGATTCCCATCTGGTAATGATTGATATGTGGTTAATGGTGGTGATTAATGGCGATTAATGGTGATTAATCGGATTTAATAGTGATATGACCACCAATAGTAGGATAATTATGGAGAATTGAGATCTAAAATCTGCCACAACTAGGATGTAATGGGGTAATTAAACGTGGCTGGCTGGAAAAACCACTATATAAATGGTGTTTTAATGGGAAATCATCGAACTCCAGGGGGGGTTCCAAGAAAAAAACGGGAAGATTTGACGGGGATTTGATGGGAATCTACAACCAACATGATATATGATATATATATATATGTATATATATATGTATATATATATATGTATATATATATATGTATATATATACATATATATATATATGTATATATGATATATGATGATATATGGGGTTGTCCATTCTTTTTTGGGGCCCCCAAAAAAGGCTATTTAATTAAATGGACACATGATGATATGCCCTGAACTTTTGGGGTAATCTATGTCCAATCAAACCCATTTTATTTGCAGCTAGGCTATGTTGGTAACCAAGGGGTTGACGCTAAATGTACATCCTAAACAAAACTCGTGAAGTCTTTTCAACTAAAGCATGCCCTTTTGATCCCTGTGATGGGTGATCTCTTTGCAAGCATTTGTAAAGTGAGTCTACCAAACCTGGCTTTCCCTGCAACATTGTCCAGCCAACAACCAACCTAACAACCACCTCTAAAACTCTTGCGTACAAACTTGAGATGGGTATGGAACAAAAACCTCCGCAGAAAAAACATGCCACGTTTCCGAACGACACTTTCTTCTGCCAAAAAAGTCCTGCACACTTTCCCAGTCAACAACAGGCGTTTGTTACAGAGGGTTTTATGTTTCAACCATTTATTATCAACTATCATTGAGATACCAATTATTAGTTATTGATAGCCTCCGATAATTATAAATCTTTTCAACTATAATTAAAATCATGATATAATCACTATCAACTATTATTATCAACTATTATTATGTATATTATTATCAACTATTATTATGTATATTATTGATAGTTGCTACCATGATCTCCACAGCTCCGCAGGTGCGGCAGGGTAGCCAGATGCGCGCCATGGTGGCCTTACTGGGCAGAGGCGCCAAAGGCGCGGCGCGACGGCGCGGCGCAAAAAGGTGGCCATAGATGGCCCCATGAGCTGAGAAACATGGTGATTTAGCCATTAAGAATGGTGATGTTTCAGTTCTGCTACGTTAAATAACCAGATGATATATATATATAATGTATAATCATATATATATAATGTATAATATAATGTATAATAATATATATATAATGTATAATCATATATATATATATATAATGTATAATCATATATATATATATAAATACACATTATATAACATGGATATTAAACTAACTTGAACTGTTTAGAACTGAACGAGCTTGGATTGATAGTTTAGTACCCGATTTTCTTGCCATTTGATGGCGGCCTTTATAAGTTATAGGTAATTTTAGTGGGGTTTTGGGGTATACCCATGTTAGGAAACACCCCTATGAAGAATTATGAAGCAGGGGTATGAAGGGTATGAAACTATTTGAAACCATACGAAATGAGGATTTTGATGGACATTTTATAGGGATGTCTTTCACCCGTGGACAATGGTCATCTGAAAGGAAGGACAGGCAGGGCAGTGACTTTCTCTTGATTGATGGCCATAGTTTTCCTTGATCTGCTCCAATCCTTCATCACACGGTGGCATGGCTGGATAATTGTTCGGTGGCAGGAAAACGCAACGCATGGAACACCTACCACAATCATTGATGATCTATGAAGTCATGGATGGTGCACGTATATTTTGGTGATACAGCAACCATTGTCATGTTTTGGCCAGCAACCAAAGGCACACATTGGAGTGGGTAGTTTTACATGGCAATGCAAACATCCCAACTTTTGCCAAGATATGGGACAATCATCGAACTCAATGAGTGATGTTCCGTATGTCTGAAAGGGGGGCATACCTATCAGATTCAAATAGGAAATACCATGATGAAGCATCAACTTTGGTGCTACCCTATGTTTCAAAAATTCATGGAGGCTACCCTCCAAAACTCTTCGATTTCGATCAACAAAACCTCCAGGCCTGCTCTCCTGTGGCTTCGTGGCATGGATGCGCTACACGTCACAGGTGTGACTGAAAGTGATTTGTGTGGACCCCCCCAAAATGGCATTCTGATAGGGAAAATAAGTTTCTAAACCACTGAAAATGAAACTAGAGGGTTTCGGGTATTTAGGAATACAACCAAGTTTGAGAGACATCTCACCCGACCTGTATATAACGTGCCCTTGAAACTGATGCCAATGCATTTAATACATTTGGGGTGGTCCAACACCTGATTTGCAGTCCCCTATGACAGATTTATCCAGCTTGATCCGTTGTGTTGTGTGAGCTCTTCATCCGCTGCCAGATGAAGGGAGAAAAGGCAGGTCAGCATTTGGAACTGACCCTCAGCACCTTGGCTTTCCACACATGATGGCAGCCGATGCCTGGGGTGGTGAATAAGAAATCTGGCTCACAAGTGGAGCTTCCAGTTCTATGGTTTGAGGGTATTTGTTGGATTTTGTTGGCTCCATTTCATACCCGGTTACCTTAGCAGTGCCGTGCCTATCTTTCTGCCCAGCCAAGGCAAGAAAGACCAAGAGATCCAAAAGATGTTCCTTGGACCGCGAGATACGGGAACACTCCCTCCAACCATTTGTGGGGTTATCAAAGTGCACCTATAAATTCTTACTTGCGGAGCATGACTTTCGGGTCGGTGTTTCCCGCTGAGATTCAAGATCCTTTACCCTCGAGAAGGCAAAGCTGGCAATGGAGACTTGCCATTCTAAAGAGGAGCATAATTATACAGTAATAGAACATTAAATTACAGTAATAATAGAGGACATCACATATGTAACGCTGGAGATATAGACTCCTCATAATTTCATGATTCATTATACTTATGGTTACATATGGTTTCCTCTACAATAATCCCAAGAATCCCAAGAATGTGTGTAAAGATGTATTATATAAGTTACTGGTATATCCCAATAATAACGATGTTTTTTTTTTTTAAAATATGGTTTCCTCATCCTCTATTATTACAATAATCCCAATAATCAGGAACACAAATGGGAAACATATAAGAATAATCCCAATAATTCTTATGTTTACATATGGTATTATTACAAGAATCCCATAGCAGTGGAACGGAACACAAGTGGCGTTTCAGGCTGAAAGATTACCATGCATTGCAGCGGAGTCTCAAGGTGCGGAACATCTGGGATACACCGTAGATACAACACAAAGGGGCTGTGTAAAACAAGACAATGTGGGGATCCAAAGCGGTATATATATAATAATATATCTATATATTATGATATATATATATTATAATATATATATATGTTATATTTTTCACCAACATATTTCATATTGGGATTACTGTATTGGGATTGATCCAGTTAGATACGGGGATTGATCTCCAATACGGCTATTAGAAATTCGAGAACATGAGGTTTTATCCACTGGAATTGGGTATCCAACGTTTTGGGCCTGTACCTTTGTGTTTGACGCCTTTGAACCGCAAAGATTGGGATTCAAGTAGCAACAGCATAAAATTGTCATGGGACTATGACTCTACCCATGTTCCTCAACGTTTCTGGACTGAACCGAAGACTTCGAAAGTGACCATTGTACGAGTTACATCTGCCACTGGGAAGGTGAAACCCAGCATAACAGAAGTGAAGTGACACTTGTAAGGACAGCAGTAACATGCAGTAACCAAAGGCCACTTGAGGAGACGCCAAAGCCCTGAATGATGGCTGTTTTGAAGGGCAACACAAATAACTTTTAACTATGTGGGAGCCAGCGCTATGATGAGACTTTCCGTGAACCAACCCATGTTTGGTGAATGTTTCTCTACATCCATATTTTTTTGCTGATGGTATCAAGAAGCTCTATGTTTACCATCACCCTTTCTTAGTCAAGCCATAGATCGTCGTCATTACATTACATTGTAAGTTCCAACTGGTGTTTGTAAGCTTTATAGCATGATATGGAGGTTTCCTAGAATATGGTTGCCCCCAAATCATCCATTTATAGATGGATTTTCCATGAAATAAATGGATTATAAATGGATTATAGATGGATTTATAGACCAAATCATCCATTTATAGATGGATTTTCCATGAAATAAATGGATTATAAATGGATTATAGATGGATCTATAGACCAAATCATCCATTTATAGATGGATTTTCGATGAAATAAATGGATTATAAATGGATTATAGATGGATTTATAGACCAAATCATCCATTTATAGATGGGTTTTCCATGAAATAAATGGATTATAAATGGATTATAGATGGATTTATAGACCAAATCATCCATTTATAGATGGGTTTTTTACAGACCAACCATTGTTTTTCCTCAGCTGTTGGCCGTGGTGCTGCCAGGACCTGCAGAGCGACTTCCTGCGCGCGCGCAAGCGCACCAGGGAGGAGGCCGGGCTCGTGAAATCAGAGAATTTCGACGATTAAAAGAGATTAAAATAGCACATAATCATACATGGGTATGGGTCAAAATTAGGTACCCCAATAATTGGATGGTGAACACTAAACTAGACTAACATCTGTGGTCCCCTAGGTCTTCCATTTTGACCCACATCCACATAGTCATACTGAGAATGTGAGATTGGTGAATTCTTATATTATATATTATTATAATTTATTATATTGATTTACTCAGACTGTTTCAAACTGTTCATGTATACATGTACACGCACGGATGTGGGTGTAGCAAAGATGAGGGACTTAATTCTCGTCCCGTTGCGAATTTGTTGAAGATCATCCAATTGGAAGAAATCCTTGTTTCAACAGCCAAGTATGTTCGGAATACCACTTCGGGGATTTAAACTCATCACAGTTTCTAGTGAAACTTGTATTGACAAGGATGGCCTGCCAAGCGGCTAATTGATTACTTCGTTCTTCAAGCATTGACTGAATGCGTGGAACCACTTTTTTGAACGGCTCTTTTCAACTTCATTCAAGGCATGTTGGCTGCATCTGGACTCCCGGATGCTGGAGACTGGAATATATCCTCCAGTAATTCAAGATTTAAACTTTCAAATCCCAACTTTGGTATGTTGGAAAATCTCGGAGAATCAGCTGCAGTTGATCTGATTGGTGGTTTGGAATCTTTTTAATTTTTACATTACTATTGGGAATGGAATAATAATCCCAACTGACGAACTGACTCCATCATTTTTCAGAGGGGTGGCGAAAAACCACCAACCAGTATATATATATATTACTGTAACCATCATTAACCATCATTAACCACTATTAACCATAATTAACCATCATTAACCATATATATATATATCAACTCACATTATACCCAGATTGTAAATGGAGGATTTTCCATTGCCAGCGAGGGAGAAAAACGGCAGCTGCGCCAGGCCTTTTACCGCGCCAACTTGCTCTTGGGAGGTCACCCTGGACGGGAGATGGGAGGATGGCAGGTTGGAAGGGGCCAATGATATCTGGGAAACTCAACAATACTAACCTACCATGTGGGGATGGTTTGTAGAATCCATTTCTATCCCATTGGCGAATCATCCAAAAGATCTGGCAGATAATTTTTTTTTGGATCTACAACTAAAGCAGTTGATGTCAGTTATTTCCACCCGTGTTTCCAGCGATTTGTCTCGCTTTTAGTAGGCAAACTCAGAGGATCAAAGGGTCCTGTGGTAGGTACAGACTAGGTTGGGCAGGTCAGAGGCGTCGATCCGGGCTTTCTGTCAGGGTCTGGAAATCCTGGTTCAACCGACCGAAAATCAACTCTCCATCGATGCCCAATCGTCCGATGCTTGTGGGAATCCTTGTGAATCATCGCGGCCTGGCAGGCGGCCGTCTGAGCTATCAGGAGGCAGGGCGGACATCATCATCATCATCATCATCATCATGATCGTGAGTTGTTGACAATGGTGGAGCTGTACATGGCGTGACAATCAAGATGATAACCAAAACCGAATCATTGTGATGGTCAGATTGATGATATAATAATGATAATGACAAATAGCGCAAACCATCCTGCTACGAATGTTTGCAGTTATCAACTAACTATAAGATAGTATTCGTACGCATTATCTAGTACGCTCATAGTACTAAGAAACCCAACCATGACCGCAATCATACTCATAATTCACATCTCACATCATATGAGTCATAATTACATAATCATGAAACTTAACTAACATCACACAGATAATCTACACCTATGATCATCTACCATCATTATTGAATCTAAATCAGTATCTACGTTCATCAAAGATCGATCAGCTTCGCGAAACGCGAGGCCTTACGCCTGAGCCAAGTGTTGGCTGCTTGGCTCCTGGTGGCCATGGCTTTGCACTGGGCCAGGGCCAAGGAGTTGCAAGCCGGACAGGCGCCGGCGCCAGCGGGATGGGATGGCCCCGTTCAAACAGTTGAACTTGAAGCGAGCAGTTTCAAATTATATGAACGAATATTGAAGTGAAGATAATGATATATAATGATATAATATGCTTCAAAATGATATGTTTTGACCATCCGACGATCAATCAATTGGAGCAGACTATTGCAAGAGTTCGGTGGGTGTTTGACATGTGGATCCTCATGATTTGGCGCCAAAGTGTCTGGATAGAGGGATCTCAGAAGTTTGGGATGTTGAGGTTTCAGTTTTTTCAAAAGGTCATTGTAAGTTAGAAAACTTCTATTGTTTCACACTTTTCGAAGCGCAGTTTTTGCGTCCTCTCAACTTGGACTCTTCAATCTTCCCATGAATATGTCCATTGTTGGTTATGCTTTTATAGAAACCATTATACCCGGTTTGTCATAGCTGGTCATAGCTGGTCAAAGCTCCAGGCGGATCAGTTGCGGCTGCAGCTGGACGAGCTGCGGAGAGAGAACCGCATGAATTTGAGGCGTGCGGGCGGTTTGGTGGGCGAAGCTATGATTTTTCATCATTGTGTTATGGTGTAAATGACTAAACATACCAAACATGTTCCGAAAATTGTTGTTTTTTTTTTTAAATGTTTTTTTGATCTAGTTCAGTTGATTTCAGTTGTGTAGTTAGTGATAGTGAGAACCTCAGGTTTCAATGGGATTTGAGCAACAATTGACGGGAAGATTAGCCAACAATGATGGAGACATAATGATATATAACTGCAAAATGATGGAGATACCCTCCCCCCAAAAAAAGGCGTTTTGACCCTGAAAATAGCCCATTCTTACTGGAAAGTAGTCTGACAAAAACCCTGACTGGTGGCAGTGTCTATGCTAATTTGTGGTAATAGTCAAAACATGTACCTAATAGTAGCTAAGGAAGTGTAGTTTTTATAGCTAGTTACAGTGAATTATAGTGATACGGACAGTGAACATGTAACTATAGATACTATAGCATACTGTAGCTAATAGGAACATATAGTAATAACATAAGTTACAAGTATTTGCGGGTGAACATAACTGCGCGCGTGTGTCCAAATAACATAAACCGGGTTGTCTAATATGGTTCTCAAACAGGACTGGGTTATCATGAGTATCAGCGTTTTTTTTTCAAATCCACGTATAGCTGTAGCTGCGGTGAATTTTCCACGTGTAACAATCCCACCTCCAATCATACCTGCAATCAGGGTTCCCAAGCTATGGATCCAATGGAGGTATTTAGTGGTTGGAAGGTACGATTCCTGGGTTCTGCGCATCAGGATGCCAAAGGTTCAGGCAGTATAGGCAGTGCCCACTGAGATCTGGAGCTCGCGGTTGAGGGTGGAAGACGAGGAGGTGAAGGAGGAGGAAGAGGCGATGGGCGGCGTGCAGCTCTGATAAAATCTAGAGACTCTCACATGGCAGGTGGGGAACAGATGTTTCAGTACGCGTTTGCCCCCGTATTTTTGTTGACCCGCCCTTAGCTATGGAACACAGGGGATTCTTTTCAGGATTTGCCGCGAAAGTTCGCGAAAGTGTATTTCAGACACATGGATGCTGCGACAGAAAAACGCCACATCGCAAAAGGTTTGCGAAAGAGATGGCAAAAGGGAAGACAGAATAGAACACAAATCATCGGGGTTTCGGCAACCGCTCATGTGGTAAACCTAGCAGTAGAGCCTTGAAGTTTCGGGTGTGGTTTCCAAGTGTATAATACCCCCTATGGTTGAATATGGGTTTTAACAGGGGGATTGGATTACCCACTGGCTTAGCAGGGACAGGAACACCCATATTTACCCCAAAAGATGCAAACCCTGTCTATTTTTGGGCAAAAACCGCATGAACTTTCACCTGTTGGGAGGGTGCACCGGACCAGAATTCCAACAACAATCAAATGATAAAAGTTGGGTCATCAAAAATCCAACAAAACCGTGCAGAATCCGGATCCAAGTTCTCCAGCTTTTGGACGTTGAACGTTGGAAGTCGCAAGGAATCGGCTTCTGTCGAGTTGGGAAACCAGAGATGTGCAGGCGCGGAAGAGTGGAGGGTCAGGCTGGCCTATCGAAGAATGGTTTGTTTTTTTAGCAATTCCGCTTTCTAAAAAAAGAATGAGTTTGGGACATCGATATCATAGCGACAGTTGCGTACAGGCGTACGGTTGTGAAGTGCCTTAGCTAACCTACTTCTAAGGATTCAAACAAATATAAACAGCGAAAACTAACGCGGAGAAAACAAACCACTGTTTGAAGAAAAACAAAAACTAAGGCAAAAAAACAAACGACAATTTTGAAAAAAACAACAAAAACAAAACAAAAACAACATAACAAACAGATCCAGTATACATGTACGTGTTTTTTTTTCGTGTTGTTGTTTTTTTTTTCCGCGTTGTTTCTTTCGCAGGTGACCTGGTGACCAGGATGGTCGAACATATAAAAAACATCAGGAAAAAACAACCACGTATATATAGGTAAGTGTATATTGGTTTTTGTTTTGTTTTGTTTTTTTGTTTTTTGCTGTTGATGTTTTTTTTCTAAATTAGGTTTCGATGAGGTTATTATTTTTTTGATTTGGTTTGGGTTCTGATTAATTCCCCACATTGACGTGTGGGGTTTTTGTTTTTAGTTCTGTATCCGCTCCTCCGTCCTTCGCTTCCTCCCGCCCTTCCCTCCCTCCATCAGTCACTCTCACTCACTCACTCACACTCACTCACTCACTCACTCACTCACTCACTCTCTCACTCACTCACTCACTCACTCTCACTCACTCACTCACTCACTCACTCACTCACACTCACTCACACTCACTCACACTCACTCACTCACACTCACTCACTCACTCACACTCACTCACTCACTCACTCACACT